TCTCCCTCCTTCCCTCTCTCCCTCCCTCCCTCCCTCCCTCCCTCCCTCCCTCCCTCCCTCCTTTCTTTCTTTCTTTCTTTCTTTCTTTCTTTCTTCACTCAAGACAAGGTTTCTTTGTAGTCCTGGCTGTCCTGGAACTTACTTTTAGGCGAGGCTGGCCTTGAACTCACAGATATCCACTTGCCTTTGTCTCCCAAGTGCTGGTATTAAAGGTGTTCACCACCACCACCTGGCAATATATTCTATCTTTAAATGAAGCTTGCATATCTCCTTGATATAGGTATGCTTCATGTTGAGATTAAAATTGAGAGGTACTTTGTTAAAGCAGTATTAATCATGCTTAATATTTAAAAGTGGTCACTTGATTACATAGTACAATTATCAGTGTTTATGGGGCATTTTGTGAAGATTTGATAGTCAAGGACAGTTTTGTGTTCACCTTTGCATGGCCTCAATAAGTTAGTTAGATAGAGAACATCATGGTCTTTGGAGTTATGCCTCTGGGCTCAAGTTCTAGGTCTGCCATTTACTAACTTTAGAACATTGGCCAAAGGAGTGAATTTCTCCAAAGCTCAGGTTCTTCAATTTCTGCAAGAAAATAATAATAGCTTTACAGAGTTGTGGGAAGAATTAGTATAGGAAAAAGTAACAGATTATTGTATGCTTTATTACCAAATGTCCCTTATTGTTAACAGTAGATAAATAGTAAATCAATATTACTAATTATCTGTAGTTGTAGTTTCTTAAATCTGTGCATACTCCAGATGTACTTATTTAATATTTCTTATTCAGAGTGTTACATTAGAAGCGAAGGAATGAAAGGTCTGTACCTTAAAGAGTCATGCTTCCTGGTACATAATCACCTGGAAGAGGCAGGGTGGTGCTGTTTTTAAAAGGGAATTTCTGTTACTAATAGTGCTGAATACAGTTATAGACTTGTCCCAAACTGCCTGAGCTAGACATACTACTTTCTTCTTGAGATCATTTCCTCATTTGTAAAATGAGGATACTCGTAGCTGTCTTCTAAGGACAGCAGTAAAGATGAAGTCACTGTTAGAGTATTGCTTGGTGTTTATTAAGTGCCCCATAAATGGAAACTGTGGCAGTTGTGTTCTTAGTTTACAAATTGTTCATTGTGTGCTTAGTGGTGTTTGTTGTCGGAAATGCATCATTCTCTTTTTTTTTTTTTTTTTTTAAAGCAAAGGCATCAAAGGAGATCTTAATGCCAACTTTATCCAAAAAACAATTTTTATTAAAAAAATGAAACAAAGGGTGGCATTTCTTGTAGTCACAGTACTCAGAAGGCCGAGGCAGGAGAATTATAAATGCATGACATAGTGACTTCTAGGCAAGTCTGGGTGAATAATGAAACCATGTTTCACAAAGTAGAATGAGAAGAAAATGCATTTTAATGATACAAGTTATAAAATATTGCTAAGCTCCTTTTTTTAAATCAGTGGAAATTGTCCGTTGAGTGGACTGTGCTATCAGTGTGTTTCTTGCTCACATCCTCACTCCCTCTGCCTTTTTTTGACCTTTGAGCTTTTAAAGCAAATTTACCCTTACATAACAGGGATTCCCCCCCCCCCCTTTCAAAGCTAGGCAAAAATATTTTGTTCACTTGATCAGTCTCATGCTTTATGTTCAAGAAGTGAGGTTGAGAAAGCCTTTGTCAGAGCAGTGGTGACTCCACTGTAAGTACATAGTTTGATTCAGCTGTGCGGTTATTTAAAGTTTACCAGTTTCTTATTTTTGAATAAGAAGTTTTTTACATTTGTCTACAGAATAAATTTTGTGAGTGTTTGTTTTCTTTTTTTGGTTATTATTTATTTTGTTTTTTTGAGACAGTGTCTCATGTAGCTCAGGCTATCCCTCAAGCTCATTATGTAGCTAAGGGTGATCTTCACCGTCTCAGTGCTGGATTGTAGGCCTGTACCACTGGGTTTTGTTTATGTGTGAAGGTGGCTCTTGGTACATGCTCTGCCAGTTGAGCTACGTCTCCAGCGCTGTTTCCCTGTTTCTCTTTTTAGGGTTTTTATATGGATTTGTAAAAGAAACTTGAGTCGAAAAATTAATGTGCAGAAGTGGAAACAAAGCTTTGGTGTTCATCCTGAAATAGTGATTATTTATTTGGAAAACTACTATATTATGTTTATTATTTAAAAACACTCTCAAAACTCATCATTTCAGTTGATATTTAGAGAATGCTATGTGTGACAACTAACATGTACACAAATTGCCCAAATAGAATTGAGTTATAATTTCATGATTGCTCCTAGTACTCTTGAAGTTAGTTGACTTTGGGACTGTTTAAAAGCCGCAATTCTTGGGCGTTGTGTGTTGGGGGCCTGAAGCCAGAGAGCCTTGTGCATGCTAAGCCTGCTTTCAACACTAAGATACAGCACAAACTCTGTAATTTTTATATTGTCTGTCGGTCATCTCCTTCCCTCCCTCCCTCCCTCCCTCCCTCCCTCCCTCCCTCCCTCCATTTGAGACAGGGTCTCTCTGCATAGGCCCAGCTGTCCTGGAACTCATTATGTAGACCAAGCTGTCCTCAAACTCAGAGATCCCCCTGCCTCTGCTTCCTGAGTGCTGGGATTAAAGGCGTGCGCCACCACCCCTGTTGAGGCCAAGTTTGAGTGCCAGTAGCATCTAGAAACGAGGTAGAAGTTCGTGTTTCTGCTCCCAGCTAATCTAACTAGAAAAACTCCTGGAAGAACTGGTTAAGGGAGTTTTCTATGATGTACAGGACTGACTATAATGTGTCAGAACATGCTGGGTGTAGTGGGAGCAAGGCATGGACTTGTGTTGAGTGTTGTCTGTACAGCAAAGTGAGACCACCATGCATTATGTGAGTGTTCCTTAATTTTCTGCATTTAAGGATTTCTTTTCCTTGATTATTCACCTATTGCAGATGTTTTTTTCTGTAGGTTTAATTTGATTATGTTGAAATTTTATTTGAAATATAACGTAAAGTTACCACAAAATACTCACTAAAACACTGAAAAGCAAATGTTTTGCCTTGGTATGTATGTATGTTTTTTGTTTTTCCTTATCTGAAAACTGGGAAGAAATTTTATTAGATGCTATTATCAGTATTAGAATGTTTTTCTCTAGAACCTAGCACAGTATTAGATATATTAAGGCACTTACGTGAATTATTTGGGAAGACTTTTGTTCTTGAGACATAGGTTTCTTTATGGTCCAGACTGAACTCAAAAGCCTGGATTCAAATAATCCTTCAGTCTCCTGAGTAACAGCTGGGCCTAACATGCATGCCATTGTGCCTGTGAGATTAAAGGTTATTACAAGTAAGAAAGAAATGAAAAGTTTTTAGGCTGAGTATACCCGAGGACTAAGGAGTAGGCTATGATCTTTGAAAGTATCTTAATATATGCTTAATATATAAGCTTTTGCATTTCATAACAGTGAGTGTAGCTTTATAACCTTTCTCAACTACTAGAATGGTATACAGAAGACACTTTATATGCTTTTAATAATTGAATACTGTATTTAGTTGAGTTATGTGAAATTGCCAATAATAATTGCTTCTTTTAAAAAGTCTATAGGAACAACAATTTCAAGTGATTCAATCTAATTTTGACATCAATTTGATTTGAATTGCATGCTTGTTCTTTCTTTATACACTTTAGATTCTTTGCTAAGTACTGATTTAAAATAGAGGATGAAAGTTATTTTGTGTTTATGCTAGTGGTTACTTTTGATACTGTAGCTTATTTTATCAGGTAACAAGAAAAATCAGATCTTAGAGAAGGAACTGTTTAATGATGTTTGACTTAAATTTGTAGAGATTCTTTTCTTTAAAAAAATTTCCAGAATAATACTTGTTTTTGGATATTTCCTAAAATAAAATTTTGGAGTATTTTGGAACATAGTTTTTTTTTTATATTTTTGTGGATAATATAAGAATATTTAAGTAACATTTATTCAAGAGAATTTTCGATCACTTTGGAAACTTTACTGACTTAAATAAAAATTTTATTTGTGTAGTCAATGTGGTTTCTTAATATGTGTGATATGTTTGAGATGTGGGTATGAATATATATTTGCAATGTATTTTGCCTTTTGAAAGGGTAGCAGTGATGGGTTTAGATAATGTGTATGTACTTTTTTCTGAAGTAACGTAGTTTTTTTTTTTTGTTTTTAGTGCCACCATGGCAACTGCACCATACAACTACTCTTACATCTTTAAGTATATTATTATTGGTAAGTTTTTAAAATGTGTATGCTTGTCCTTTAAAGAAAGTTAACACATTTATACACCAGTACTTAAACATACTGCTGCTGAAGGTACATGATTTTCTGACTTCAGAACTAAAGCTTTTTGATGAGGCTAAATAAGCCTTTTACATCGTGGCCCTGTATACTTCTCTAGTCTCTTTTTGGGCACTAGTGAAATGATAGTGATTGTTCTTCAGGGCTACCTCCAGACTTGGTAGTGTTGGGGATGTAATTAATTTCTTACTAGTGCTGAAATACCCCAGTAGCATAAAAATTTTCAAGTCCCCTTGAATTCCAAAATTGGTTGTATGTGTACATATAATTAGAATATTTTTGTTTTCTCTTAAGTGTCAAGACTTTGCTCACATTGTCTTAACACTCTCTGTCCATGAATGTTTAGCATCAGGTGAAAGCCCAGGTGCACTGTTGGTAGAGCTCCTATAGACCTGCCCCGGCTGCTGAGAACAAAACAAGCCGTAAATATAAAGAAAGCCCATGTCTTTTGCTTTGATGTCAAGTCTGCGTAGCTTTATAAGATGGCATCTACTGTAATCTAGCAGTAAAACAGAATAATGAGCCAGACTTCCAACATTTAGTTATTTATTTTTGCTTGCCCTTGGGATAGTTCATTTGTATAGACCAACAAGTACACTTGGTCCCCACCTGGAAGCAGTTGAAACTAAAAAAGTCCCATTACAGTAATTCTTTTGTCACAAGCCATGTATAGCTCGTTAGCTATTTACTAAACAGTATTTGCAATCAAATTCTATCCTAAAAATTAGGATAGTCAGTTTGTCTTTACTTCATTCTAAAGGAGTGAGATGCATGTGTTCTAGTGGTCAGGTCTGTGACATGTGAGGCATGTGCAGTGCAGCCGTCACTGCATATGATCATAAGAGTAAAAACTGAGAAACAGAATTGCCGCCTGAAACATTTTCTTTTTTTAAACAGGGGATATGGGAGTAGGAAAATCTTGCTTGCTTCACCAATTTACAGAAAAAAAATGTAAGTTCAATATGAAAGGTAAAAAGATGAGAGCTTACTCTATTGTCACATTCTCTACACCGGAAAAAGCACCATTTTCAGTGTACTTAATTTGATTATAACCTGTCTCTATATTTACTCTTGCGTTTTTAAAGAGCCATGACTTTTTCTCCAAAGTTTGATTTTAAAGATTTATTTTTAAGAGGGGGGGCTGTGCATGTGAAAGTGCCCTTGGAGGGCAGAGACAGCAGATCCCCTGGAGCTGGGGTGAGTCACAGGTGGTTGTGAGCCATCTTGATGTGGCTGCTGAGAACCAAACTTGGTTTGTTTACAAGACACTTCGAACTTTTAACTGCTGAGCCATATATCTGGCCCCAGGTGCCATAATTTTTTTTAATGGGTACAGATAAAATGGAGTATTATTACCAGCATGTTTGTATGGTGGTTTTTGTTAAATGTATGATTAGACTCACTTTGATCTTTCTTTCATGTATATGTATATATATATATATTTTTTTTTAAAGATTTATTTATTTCTTATGTATACAACATTCTGCCTCCATGTATGCCCACATGCCAGAAGAGAGCACCAGATCTCATTACAGATGGTTGTGAGCCACCATGTGGTTGCTGGGAATTGAACTCAGAACCTCTGGAAGAGCAGCCAGAGCTCTTAACCACTGAGCCATCTCTCTAGCCCTATATGTATATATTTAAAAAGACGGGGTCTCACTGTTTTGCTCTTCTCTTACTGGCCTGGAATAAACTATGTTTTATAAATTTATTTTATAAATAAAAATAGACCAAGCTGTCCTTAAACTAATTGAGCTTTGCCTAACTCTGCCTTCTGAGTGCTGGGATTAAAGATGTGCACACCATGGCAGGCTGTTTGGATTTCTTGATAGTATAAATGTAGAATTAGAGCCGGGTGATGGTGGCGCACGCCTTTAATCCCAGCACTCGGGAGGTAGAGGCAGGCGGATCTCAGTGAGTTCAAGACCAGCCTGGTCTACCGAGCTAGTTCCAGGACAGGCTCCAAAGCTACAGAGAAACCCTGTCTCGAAAAATCAAAAAAAAAAAGTAGAATTAGTTTTTAAAAATGTGTCAAATGTAAAATTTAAATAACCTTTTTTAATTCTTCTACTTAAAATGTATCCTTTAAACTTTTTATTTATGTGCATGCCATAAGTGGGCTGGTACCCACAGACACCCAAAGAGGGTATTGGATCCCTTGGAGCTGGAAGTTATAAGCAGTTGTGAGTTGTTTCGTGTCATGCAGGGAGCTAGACTCTGGTCCTCTGACAGGACAGCAAATGTTCTTAACCACCGTGACATGGCTCCAGTTCCCTACTGCCAGAATTATTATCTTAAGAAACATTTTCTTTTTGCACTGTATGCGTCATTTATCCACTATAATTAGTAGTTTTGGAATACTTATAGAATTCTTTCTGTTTTTGTGACTGGTTAAGATTTAGAGTACAATTTTTATCTTGTGGTAGAGAAAGAGGCCATGTGTTATAACTGATGAGATTGAGATTATGGCCTTTTTGTGCTTCTTACCAGAAAAGTTTTCTGAAATTTGTTTCTTTTCTTCAACAGTTATGGCTGACTGCCCTCACACAATTGGTGTTGAGTTTGGTACAAGAATAATTGAAGTTAGTGGCCAAAAAATCAAACTGCAGATTTGGGATACAGCAGGACAGGAGCGGTTCCGAGCTGTCACACGGAGCTACTATAGAGGAGCCGCGGGTGCACTCATGGTGTATGACATCACCAGGTACGATGGTGTCAGACTAGGGAGTAGACCTCTGCTTTGGGCAGTGCACTTTCTTTTTTACTGATTTAGGCCTTCTTTAGTTTGTAATTGGATGACTGTAAATAGTTTATTTGGGTTTTATGGATACTCCTCTAAAGCTGTGAAAAACTTAAATATTATGCTGATTTTCTTCACCTGAAGTCTGTTAAAGAAAGACCATGGGTATTGGAAAATCAAGAAGAGCACAGTCTGAGAAGCAGCACCAGTTGCTTGCAGAAAGGTGGCTTTATATAACTAACTTCAGGGGAAATGAGCCAGTGTAAGGGATTGCTGTAGTCAGTCTCTGTGTTAAAATTGACAGCATCTAGCTTGGCAGTGATGGTGCACACTTTAATCTTAGCACTTGGGAGGTAGAGGCAGGCAGATCTCTGAGTTCGAGGCTACCCTGGTCTACAAGTGAGTTCCAGGACAGCCAGGACTGTTAACACAGAGAAACCCTGTCTCGAAAAACAAAAACAACAGCAACAAATTGACACCATCTGCAGAGAGGCCAAGTGAGGAGTGAAGTACTTAGTTTTGTTGTGGAAGCATGTAGACTGAAACAGATCTTGTTTCCATCTGTAGGCCAAAAAGAGATTCTTTTTTTTTTTTTTTGATATAAGTGACTTTTTGACATTTAGGTGGTGGTTTATACATAATATTTACTCATTTACTTAATTCATTTTTCTACCATGTATTGAAGTGACTTAAAACACTGCATCAGGATTCAATTCATGACAACATGGCTATATCTGGAAACTCAGAGCGTTCAACATGAAGTCACAAAACAGGAATACAAAGGTTTGACTTTGGAGCATGTAGCAAACTGCCACTTAACTAGACCTGAACAGTTGTCTGCTGTAAGTTAGAAATGAACTTTCACGGTGATGCACAGTGCCAGTCCAAAGCACCTCTAGGAAGAGCCCATCTAAGGAAGTAGAGACGAGTGGGACCAACTGACAGCTGGAGATCTGCCTGGGAAAACGTTCTATGTCATTTCATCTTGAAGAGCCAGAGAATATCTGAGCATAAGAGGACTCTGAGACCTTTACTGTAAAGGATCTCTTGTTGTGTAACTCTGTTGACTTTGACACACTCTAGAAAATACTGCCTTAGAATATTGATGGGGACTGGTTGTGAAAATAGTACAGAAAGCCTCAGTCAGTTCTCAGCAAACAGTAAAACAAGCCTAAGTCTCCCCCCTGTACTGGGCAGTTGGTAATATGATCAACATGGTCTTGTGGGGAGACTTTAAGAACCTGGTTGTTGTATAGAACTGCCTTATTTATGAACTATGACTGCATTCCTGAGGACTCACATTTAACATTCCATACATTTTCAATATACTTAAATATGATGATGTATGCTTAAAGTACAATTTGTTTTGATTTGAAAACATTTTTTCCCTTTTTTTTTTTTCTTTCGAGACAGGGTTTCTCTGTGGTTTTGGAGCCTGTCCTGGAACTAGCTCTTGTAGACCAGGGTGGTCTCGAACCTACAGAGATCCGCCTGCCTCTGCCTCCCAAGTGCTGGGATTAAAGGCATGCGCCACCACCACCCGGCTTTTGAAAACATTTTTTAAACATAGTAATACTATGGTAAAATTTATATGTATTCAAGTGATCAAAAGCACTCCATATGGAAACAGCAGAAATGTCCTTTAGGTAAAGGAATGGATGGTACACAGCAGGTGGCATATCCACACAGTGAACTTTTCTGAGCTGTAGAAAGGATGACTGACATACTTACATGCTATATGTAAGTGTAAAAGGCTACATGTGATTCTGTGTGTTTATCTAGATTAGGCAAACTCCTAGAGGCAGTAAGAAGATTACAAGGGCATAGGCAGTTATTAGGCACAATGTTTCTCTTTTGGGGTCCAGTGAATGTTCTAGAATTTGATAGTGATGATACTAAAAGTAAATTGTATTTTTAAAGGGTTCATGGTGATTCATTGTATCTCAATATAATTTACTGAAAAAGTAAATTTTTAGGTGTTAGGTTTGTAGGTGACTAGACTGTTCGTTCATAGTCATAGGTTGGTGGTAGAGTCATGACACTATTTTCCACCAATTTTTTTTATAAATTTATTTATTATGTATATAATATTCAGTCTGCATGTATGCCTGCAGGCCAGAAGAGGGCACCAGACCTCATTACAGATGGTTGCGAACCATCATGTGGTTGCTGGGAATTGAACTCAGGACCCCTAGAAGAGCAGGCAATGCTCTTAACCTCTGAGCCATCTCTCCAGCCCTCCACCAATTTTTTTGTATTAATCCTTGACATTTGCAACTTAGAAGTTCTTGCTTTAATTATACTTTTTATTTTTGGCATTTACTGTAATTGTTATAAGGCACTTGATTGTTTTTTATCCTGTTAGTTGTTTTGCCAAACAGTCACGGTGCAGTTAATATGTTAATACCTAGGTGAATGTATTTTGAAGTCAAGAAGTAGAATGCCAAGCCATCCTAATCCAGAGCTGTTCTGTGTTTGGATTTATTTTCTGTGTTAGGGTGAGCTGAACTAGCGCAGATGACACGGTGCTTTTTATTTTATTTTTATTTATTTATTTATTTTTTTTGAGACAGGATTTCTCTGTGTTGCCCTGGCTATTCTGGAACTCTCTGTAGACCATGCTGGCCTCAAACTCAAAAGATCTGCCTGCCTCTGCTTTCCTTTAACCTGCTGGTATTAAAGATATGTGCCACCACCGCCTGGCTGACAGTATGCTTTTTAAACTTGCTCAGATGAAGTGAAAGAATGTTGCAGTCTGAATCTGCAGATGCTCTAACTGCTGTAAATAAGAGGTAGAAAATGTAAACTTTCTGGTAGCTGAGGTCTTCAATTTCTACAGGAACTTTTTTTTTTTTTTTTTGGTCTGTATATTAGCTTACTCCAGATTAGTAGACAGGGCATGGTGCCACATGCCTATACTTCTAGCATTTAGGAGGTAGAGGCCAGAGGATCACAAGTTGGAAGCCAGCCTAGGAAACATTCTCTGAAAAAAAGAAAGGAAAAGAACAGTATAGGAAAGATGAATTAATTTAGTATGACTAATTTAGTATGACTGTCTTATTTCTGCATGAAAATTTTAATTTGAAGGTAGATGCAGAAATTTTTCCCATGAGTATATTATTAGCTAGACATTTTGGTATTTTTCTCCATTTTATGATTGAAAACCTGGATGATATCAAGGAATGTGTCTTGATTGCAAATCTTGATTCTGAATTTTTTTTATGTTCCTTGCGTGTATATCAGTTTGTTTATGTATATGCTTTTTAAATACTTCTGATATCAGTAGTATTGTTGGACATAGAGCTATTTAAAAATATTGAGTTTGTAGCCAGGTATGATGGCACACACCTGTAACCATGGGAAGACTGAGAGAAAGTTGGTTCTATAGGAGAAGGAATATGGCTTGGACTACATACACAGTACGACCTTGTTTCAAAATGCAAAACAAAGTTTAACTAGATTTTTGAGAGTCATGTTGGTTCTGTTATATAGCGTTCTTTGGAGTAACCATCTGGTCAAGGTAGAAATACATGTAGTTGGGATCTTCCAATTAGTCTGTCTATGTATGTATATATTGACATGAGCTTGTTTGCTTGCATCTTTTTTGAGACAAGGTCTCACTGTAGTACAAGCTGACCTGGAATTCATTTATGGCCATGATGACCTCAAACTCAGGTCACTTCTGCCTTGCTCCTGCCTTTTAATTGCTAGAATTGCATGTGTGTGACACATCATATCTGGCTGTCTTCTTTTTTCTGTATAAATGGCAATTGTATGTAGAAGTCAACACATTCTAATTTTAATTTTTGCAGAAGAAGTACATATAACCACTTAAGCAGCTGGTTGACAGACGCAAGGAATCTCACCAATCCAAACACTGTAAGTCAACACCTTACTCTATAAGAAATCTAAAAGTTAACCCAAACAGGCAAGCCCTTTAATGGTGAGATTTTGTTATTTGGGTACTATGAAAAAGACACTATTCATTCATTAATTCACATTTTCTTTGGTGCTAGAGATCCAGGCCTCATGTATGCTAGGCAGATTCTCTACCATGAAGCTATGTCCCCAGCCCCAGGTGTCTTTATTTTATTCTTAAGGTGATTGATGAAAACTTTATTTTTTTCAGTTTTAGTTGTATTCAGGTTTTCCATTTTATTATACTTGTTATGGTTGGATCTAAAAAAATAAATAAGTTAAAGTTGTGAATGAGGTAGTGATCTAGGTGGAGATCTTATAATCTGAAATTATATTTTAAAAAAACATCTGGATTAAGTTTTTAAAGAATTACTGTTGGAGGAAACTAGGCAAAACCGAGCAAGGGCTCTCTTTTATTTTTATAATTGCATGTAAATCTCATAATTATCTGAATAGAATGTCAATTAAAAGTTAATTATTTCACACACCTTGTAGACCATGGTTGCCTTGAACTCACAGAGATCCGCCTGCCTCTGCCTCCCAAGTGCTGGGATCAAAGGCGTGCGCCACCACTGCCTGGCTGATTATTGACTTCTTAGTCAGACTGAGAAGATAATGAGAAGTTAAAGGACAGCTGCCATATTAAACCCCACAGCCTACAAAGATACTTTTTTTCCCCTCTGGTCCAGAAAGGGTTATTGTCTAGTAGAGAGAGAACCTTCAGGTTTACAGAGAAACCATAAAAGCACCTGAAAGAAGAACTAGAAGTGCAGTGCCAGTGAGCAGGATGGGCTGGACCTTGTGGAGAAACCAGCGGGTCCAAGGGTTCCCTCTCTACCTCCTGCATCTGACAGAGGCTGGGCCAGTAACGATGTAGATGAGTGGTAAGAGTGCGGCTAGCTAGTGTGGACCTAGGGCTTTCATTTCCATTCGTTCTAAATTCGTGTTGCTGTGTGTACACACCTGTGGATAAATGTGCAGCGTTTTTCTGTGATAACCAAAACCCGAAAACAGTCCAGCTGCCTACACACAGGTGAATAGCAAAAACAGTTTGATGCATTTACACTGTAAGTCCTACTCAACCACACGGAGGAAGGATTTGTGATAACAACATCTGCTCTAATGAATCTTTCCAGGTTTTGGCTGAATTTAAAAAGTCTTAGAATATGTACATTGACATATTTCAAAATGACAGCATCTTAGATAGATGGAGAACAAATTAGTGGTGGCAGGGGTTTGTTAGTGATGGGGAAGGCGGATGAATACGGGAGAAAGAGTGCAGAGCAGTTTGTTTGTGATGATGTGATACTTCTGTGCCCTGATTATGCTGACACAAACTGTAACTGTGTTAGCACTTCACACACAGAACCACGCATAGACACGGCCACAATACATGAGAGTTTGAAAAAGCTGATGTCTAAGGGCTGTAACTGCACCAATGTTAGTTTTCTGATTTTGCAAGTATACTGTGGCTCCCTAAGTTGTAGCCCTTGAAGAATACCAGTAAAGATATCATACCTCGTGATTATATTTTGCCAAGTCTATTTTCCCCCAAGTAAAATGTTAAAAATTCATTGTAGAGGGTCCATGGAAATTTAGTGAGCCATGTTGTTTCACTTTACACCCTTTAAAATCTAACCATCTCTTCAGAAGAAGAAAATGTGTTTTGAAGCCCTTTGGTTTTTATGTAGAAATTGTGTATTTCTTGTTGTGGTTGTTAGTGTTTTTGTGCTCTCTGTTAGCAGACTATAGGCTCTCAAGGTGGACAGCAAAATCTACAGGTTGATGTGTAGTTGGGAAAGAGGAAAAAAAAAAAACACTTACTGAGGAGGGTGGTGGTGGGGTAGAGTGCTGGGGATTAAAGCCAGAACTCTGCCTGCTAGGTCAGTGCTCTGCCCACACTCCTTAGGCTAGAAGGCAGCATTTCTTGATTTGAATACCTTTCTTAACCCGCCCCCCCCCCCCCCCCAAAGCAGGGTTTCTCTGTAACTATGGAGCCTGTCCTGAAACTAGCTCTTGTAGACCAGGCTGGCCTCAAACTCACAGAGATCCACCTGCCTCTGCCTCCCGATTAAAGGCATGCACCACCACCACCTGGCCTTAATGACCCCCACCCCCCTCAGTTTCTCTGTGTAACAGTCCTGGCTGTCTGGCTGTCCTGGAACTCACTTTATACACCAGATTGGCTTTGAACTGACTAAGATCCACCTACCTCTGCCTCCCAAGTGCTGGGATTAAATGGTGTGTGCCACTGCCGCCCATCTAGATTTGATTTATTTTAATTGACTATTTTTAAAGTGTCATTATTTTATTGTTTGGTGACTATGAACTATATATGAGCATTATTTTCCATTCTCAGTGGTCACTGGCTCTTTGATGAATGTTCTTTATTGTACAAGTTAACTTGTATGGAAATGATACTCAAGAAAAATTGAAAGTGGAACAAAGAGCCAAGCACTAATTTTACGTAGAAAAAATGTTGGGAAGCACCTTTTTGTTGAAATCCTACATATTTTGTTGATTCCTAACATATTTGTATCTGATTGGCAGGGGCAGAGAGGTAAAAGAGGGGCTGGCGTCTTTCCTTTTTATTCCCTGAAATAAAGACCAAAACCCCTTTGTTTCCCAAGGCTACCTTTTTTGTCTCTAACTTTGACATAATTTTACTTGTGTTGGTGACTCCAAAGTAGACAATAGAGGTGTGATATTTGACCAAGGATTTGAGCCTGTTGCATATGTACCCCATCTCCTGCCTCTTCCACAGACAGACACAAACATTGGTGATCAGTTGCTAGAAGTCTATACCTCTCCCGGGATAGTGTCAGCAAGGACAGAGTTTTGTTTCCAGGTCACAGTTTGCATTCTTTTAGGGTTCTAATGCTCTTTTTGCTAACTCTTTGCCTTAACTGCATTTAGTGGAAGATAATTACTGTGACCCTGAAGGAACTGAACTAGTGTATTTAAGCTTCCTCAGGGTCCCAGAATCTTTTGAGATTCTGAAAGCCACACACCTTCTCCGGGGGATATTGATGTTTACCGCTCTTATGTACTTAATTCTAGGGGCATTTTTACTAATATTCTTTGGCCTAGACCAGGGAACAAACTGGTTGTTGGCCACAGTCACTTAATAACTTGTTTTTGAGTGGTTTACTTTTCTATAAGGGGTCTGTAACAACAATAAAGACAATATTCAACAAAAGCTGTATGGGGACCACAAACCTGAAAATAGAGTTTATGTCTTTACAGCAGGTTGTCAAACCCTGGCCTGATCTGCTGCCAGAGTCTTTGCTAGTGCAAACTTCTATGTGTACTTAGGGCTCCTTTTCTCCTGTCAGGACTTCTGCATTTGAGAATTTTAATGGTTATTTTTGTTCTAAGGTGTCTTTTCTTCTGTTCACAATTTAGGTAATAATTCTCATAGGAAATAAAGCAGATTTGGAAGCACAGAGAGATGTTACCTATGAAGAAGCCAAACAGTTTGCCGAAGAAAACGGTGGGTTTAAGACAGCATTCATCATTGGGAAAGTATTAAAGGAAAGGTGATTTTGATCATGCAAGTTATTGGATAGTTTCTTTTCTTCTTTTTTTAATGTGGACTGTTCAGTACTCTCAGTGAGGAAATAAAGTGTTTCTATGATGCATGTTAGTAGTAGTGCAGCTACTGAATGACAGGCACAGATCTGCCCTGTTGCTCAGATGCGTGTTCCTTCCTAAGTACTGTCGGTGGGGGCCTTGTCAGGTGTGACTGAAGAATGCTCTTGGCAGTCTGCAATGGCCTAATTATAGTCTGATTTTTATTTTTAGGCTTATTGTTCCTTGAAGCAAGTGCAAAAACGTAAGTATGGCTGAAATGTAGATGATGTTTTCAGTTACATGTGGGTTCTGAATAGAACCGTGTGCTGTGTAAGTGGATGGCAGACATGCACGTGAATTACACTGCAGTGAGGGTGTGTGCATTCTGTGTCAGGAAGGACAGCAGCAGACGCTTCTGTTTCACACTGCAAGAGAATGCGAAGTTCTGTTCCTTCAAGGTTGTAGCTTATTGTGCCCGGTAATAACCTGGGTTAATAAATGAAATTATGCTTACATTTCACAAGTGTTTGACTTTCACAACCAAGGTTGACCAACGTGTTTACACAGCACTTGTGATCACCTTAAGGAGTGATTCAAGGACACACTCAGTGGCTAATGAGGTACAGTGAATATTTCTGATCATCCTTGGAGTCCCAGCATTGATCCCAGCACTCCCAGGCATAGTTCTCTGGTATCACACCAGGCAAGGGCAGACCAACCTGTTTGTGTTTATTTACTTCTGCTGTTAATCCCAAGAGAACTCGTGTGTGAACATGGCTAAGCATGACTGTGTCACCACTACATGATAAAAATCACAAAACGATGGAAACCTGGAATCCTCTTAGTATATTTGGAGAAACTTTAGGTTTTGCTCTCATGAGAGTGGCTATCTCAGTCATCATGTAATATGCTAGCACAGCACTGCTGAGTAGAAGAGTCAGTGTGCAAACCAAACTTAGAAATAGCTCAGTACTATGTTGTATGCTCGCCACCAAAGCCATTTCCCACATTGTTCTCTTAGCTCAGTTTTTGGTAATCTCTTATTAGATGACAGTGGCTTAAGTGGAAGACATCATGGCGGTTCACTAAAGGTTAGCAGAAGGTCAGTGTAAATGTCTTACGTTTTCTAGAAAGCTGTGGGTTGTGAATAAAGTTGTTGATTGTCTCTTAGGGGAGAGAATGTAGAAGATGCTTTTCTTGAGGCTGCCAAGAAAATCTATCAGAATATTCAGGATGGAAGCCTGGATCTGAATGCTGCCGAGTCTGGTGTACAACACAAACCCTCAGCCCCACAGGGAGGACGGCTAACCAGTGAACCCCAACCCCAGAGAGAAGGCTGTGGCTGCTAGTGACCTCTTTGCTCTGGCCCTCATTTGACCTTTCACATCTGTCTGTTGGAAGCAGTACTTTTTACTGCCTCCTTGTCTTCTGTACATCTTACTGGGTTTAATTAAAAAAAGAAAAAACAACTCTTGTAAAAACAGTTTAACAATACTAAACTGCTAAACAACTAGTTGTAATCAGGTTCTCAAAGGCAAGTAGAGTAATAAATCTCTCCTGCATGGTAAATCTAGACTTCTCCCCTTTGATTGTCCTCGTGATAGGTTTGTCACCAATATGATTTAAACTGAGCACTGATGCGGGACTCGATTTTTACCTTCCCTTTTGGCAAGGCTTTGTCTCACTGTACGGTTTAAATTTGATCTCTTCAGCCTTTTTCCCATCTTTAAACTGTTAAAGTATGTCTGTTGTAGCCAGAAAGTTCATTGCTGTGAAATGACTTCCAATGGCAGAAAAAAGGGAGTCTGTAACTGCTTTTGTTTTTGTTGGATAAATTCCCTGTTGTAGGGGTGGCATTTTTCTTGATGCGGTTTGCTTCTGTCTTAGCCTTGCACAGGGAAAAATACCCATTTATCTTTTCTTGTGCTTAATTAATAGCTTTATCTTTTTTTTTTTTTACACCATTTTATCCTTTTCTCTTTAACAGAACGTAAATATGTATAAAATTTGAAGGAACCTAACTAACAATATCTTCTGTGTATATTATTTTAATGAAGAAAATAAATTGATTACTGGCATTGGAACAGTATAAAATACCAGTTTGTACAGTGTGACCTATATGTGACCATGTTATTCTCTTCCATCTCACACAAGGAAATAAGACACAACTTCAGTTTCACAAGTAATACTGGCTCCACCTTGGTGCTGGCAGTGTTTGGGGACAGACATAATGCTGGAAAGAGCTCCTGGCATCAGCGGAAACACTAGCGGATTCGATTCCATCTTTGCACTGTGGCTTACCTGCTGATTTTCTTAACTGCTCTTGTGTAATCGACAATGTGCTGACCTGCTTTTCTTTTTGTAAACATTTTATTACAGGCTGCATTCTTGCCTTACTGTATAGAAAAAGGAAGAAGGCTGGGTTTAATATTGCACATTTTAAGCTTTTATACTTTTATCTTGGAATGGTCAACTTCTGGACCAGCTAGCCGGAACCACAGGTCTGCTGTTAAGGGATTTTAAATTGTGCATTTTTAACACTAAGGTGAAATAATTTAATGCTATCACTTGTGTTCATAGGATGAGGGGCTATTTTATGTCCTGCTAGTGTCAGTTGTTTAGTAAAAGGAAAGTGTTTCTAAATGTGTATGCTGACATAAAGTTACTACTTTGCACTGGGTAGTCGGCCACAAAAAACACCTTGTAAGAGAAACCTTTAGAAGGCATCTGTTTTACTCAATTCTTCGTGGTTGGTTTCTAGAGTTGAAAGTGGCTGGGATTCAAGAGGTCATTGGAAGTGCTCACAGGGAAGCCCTAGGCACATTATATAATGCTATCAGCTCAATGCTGTGTTTAAAATTCACATTTTAAATCCCTCTTTACCAGACACTAATGAAAAAGTACATCTTTCTGGATTATAAACGTGGTAGTTCCAGAGTTTTGTATAGTCAATGTTAAATAAAAGCCAAAACTGGAATGTGCAGAAAATAGGATTTGGTTTATTTGTGGATTCTCCTTTTGTCTTTGTTTAACTTAAAGGATTCCTGGAGTAGATTGGTATATTCTGTTAAAGACTTAGAGCGATCCATTTGCTTACACTGTTGCATCACAAGGGATTTGCCCAGGGACCATGACCTGCTGGTATGTGTATATATTTACAAAAACAAAACAAATCACCCATCGGGGTACAAGGTAGCAATCAAACTAAAGACGACTTCGACTTGTGTAGGTGCAATGCCCTGACTCTCAGTTACAGTGGGTCTTGTTTTTGTGACAGAAGGATTTATTCAGACTGCTGTACTCTTCGTTCGATGTAACAAAATGCTATTATCTAAATATTTGTAAATAAAGTACCTGTATCTAGATTAAATTGAACATAGTTGCATTATTTTTGAACTGTAAAAACTTTATTCAGTTTTTATTGCAGCATTGTGCTTAGTGTATGGCGAGGTCTGTGTAGCTTATAAAACCACTAATTGAGCTGGAGTTCCATCCTTGTATATTGTATCTTTGAGGCCAGCACATTGGTGGCTAATAGTGTTCTCTCTTTACTGTATGTGGGGCCAAATTTTATTTGCATGTGTAACACCGTGTAATAAACTCGGGAGTGTAAGATAGAGGAGCAAACTGTCATATTGCAACATCTGTGTGCCAGACACTGGGCAGAGTGGATTTGTTAATTTTTAACCTACAAGAGCTTGTGTAAGTGCTTGCTACTCTGGTGTTGTGACTGCTTTCACTATGAGGAGCTGCTCTGGTGGTGGTAACTAGTGCTCATCTGCATCAGCACTCCAGCAGCTTTGAGCTGTTTTTCTCAAGTCATAAAGTGTGGAATGCAGTGACAGACGGAGTTGGTCAGTGGTGGTCACATTGTACTAGTAAAAGGTTATACAAGGTTTCTTTAGAAAGATGTCCTTTTGGAACTGGCAAGTTTTTGGTGTATGCAGTGGATCAAACCTAGGACTTTGCACATACAAGGCAAGCATTACGCCATTGACTTACATCTGTGGAAGGGCATTTTTGAAATCAGGTGTTTTGGTTCATACATTTGTTACCTCACTTTCTCAATAAGCTTATTGAGACTTTTTTTTTTTTTTTTGCCTGTACGTCTGTTTTAAATGTGGCCTTAAAAGAAATAGATGGTTTTAAGATCCTTCACCATAAACAGAAAAACAAAACAAAATCCAGATAGCTCCCATTCCTACTTATATGGAAGTAGAGATGAAGGACTCATATGACAGTTACTTGGTCCAGGCCCAGAATAATGTGTTCCCAGACCTTGTCCATATTTGTGATTAGCCTATGCCTTTAAGCATTTTGCAAAGATGTAAAGTGAAAGGAGAACAGGAATATAGAAGATATATGGGAAATACATGCCTTCTGGAACATACTGTGCAGTAAGTAAGGTGTGACTCCCATTATCTCTGTTATAATTGTATTTACCCCGCATCTTAATGGTTCAACTGTAGCCAGACAGCTTAATGAGAATATATATTCCTTATTGTGAGGGGCTGTTGGGCAGTGCTGACTATGGCTCAAAGGCTGTCCAGTCACCAACATCATTAGGATGGTTAGAGCCACACAGCTTTGACAGGGTAGGGTTGGTTGGTCATTTCTGAAGAGATGTAGAGATCACAGTTGAGTTGTTAGAGTGCTTAAAGGTTGACTGATAGACATTTATCACCAGAGCTGAGTCTCCAGAATACAGTCTTGATGTTTTCCACCAGAGAATTACTATTTTAATAGGCTAAAGAAAAGCAGTCTTAAGTGCAGCAGTTTCCCGATGGAGACTTCTGGAAGAAGGAAACACTCACTGCTAAGAAGATCAGATAGATGGGAAAAAGGTTGGAAGATGTCATTGTCATAACCTGATGACTTACTAAATAATGCTCTGTGAAATGTCAAACAACAGACCCAAGTTGGCTGTACCGTTTATTTTCATATTAAAAATAATTTTGATCAGAATCTGAAAATAACTTATTAAGCCTTGGGGCTCTTAGTACATTCTTTTTTCATGGTAACTAGGCATACCAGTTATGGACTCAGGAGGAACAAAAACTTTTCAAGGCTGGGGGAGAAAAATATTCTGGTTTAGACTTTATACATCTAGTCCCACAGGTACATGTAATTTACAAAAACTTCAGTGTAAACAGTACAAACACGAACTACAATGCATTCTCAGAGTCTTTGATTCACAGGATCTTGGTAATATATTGACATTCCAATTAGAAAGTGAGGTAGGAGAGTAGTTGTTTCCTCTTAAGCTCACACAAGACCATATTCCTGACCTCGGCTGAGGCTTCTTTTCCTACAGTAAGAAGAAGCAGAATTAACCCTCTTTAGCAGGACAAGGCTGTAGAGAATAAGGTTGGTGTGATGACTGCTAAAGTTGCTTGCTGAAGGACCTCTGGAACCTATTCTGTAGTGCCGGGGACTGAATCTAGGGATGTATACGTGCTAGGCCAGGGCTCTACCATTAAGCCCAGTTTCTAGCCCCAAAATGTAAGATAAACTTTACGAAATAACTAAAAGGTGACTTCTTTCCTGGAGCTGCCAGACTTACAAATCTTCTAGTTAAATGCAGGGTTGTTAACATACCCTGCAAGCAGGAAACTCAGCGGTGGTAACTGTGTGGTTCCGATGGACCTTGCAGAACTTGGAAGGAGCTCTGAGAAAAATGAAAAACAGTTTTAAGCACAGAAGCCAGCCCCCAACCCCAGCCCAGTTCAAGGCTTCATCTCTCACTGGCCCAGATGACAGACAGCCCCAGACTGAAACAGTGCCTACAACTCACCTGTACCTCTTACGTAGAGCCCTTCAAAGCTCATGTATTTTTTTGTACCACAGCCTCAGGTTCTTACTAAGCACTTAACTGAGTCCATTAAGTTCTGGAGGGCCTCTACCTGACTTGTCTCCACTACAGGTGTTAAGGTAATCTTACTAAAGTCTCAGTCCTGCTGCTCATTAGTTTTGTGACTCCTAAGCTATTTGCCCTCCTTAGGCCAATTAAAGAAGCAACTCTCCTTGGACATTCCTTGTGTTTTACAGTTGGGACACACTGCTTTCTGGTAAAGGTAGGATAGCCTGTATGTCCTGATTTGTCCTTTGCTATCCTTACCTGTCATCTACCATTTTATATAGTACCTTACCTACATAAAGGGACAAAATGTACCTTCCAGGATGTAAAAATTAAATGGGATGTTGATTGTACTGTGTTTAGCATGTTGAGCCTGGAAATGGAAGCCATTTTCTGCTCATCAATAATGTGCTACTGTTGGCCTGTTCCATGAGTTACTTTATATTCTTGTTAAATGGTTATTAAGTCCCACACAGAAACCCTCGTGAGATCCAGAGTTTATAGTAGACAGTGAAGAGGTCTGCATTCAAATGTCTTTTGAGAATTAGGCACCACCTAAAACACAGGGAAACCCAGACTTGACCTCACAGGTCAAAGTTTTTACTTCTAAAAATGTTACAGCTTTTTTGCCTGCATGTAAATATCTGCACTATTTGGGTGTCTGGTGCTTGTGGAGAAAAGGGTGTTGGGTACTCTGGAACTAGAGTAACAACAGATGATTGAGAGCCACCATGTAAGTGCTGGGAACTTAGTCCAGATCCTCTGGAAGAGCAGCCAGTGCTCTTACCTTGCTGAGCCATCTCTCCAGGACTGAAGATCTAAGTTCTACATTGATGAAGTAGAAAATAAGGAAATCTAGAAGTCAAGGACACAGACGAACTGACTGCATTTCTCCTGGGTCATCCTATCCAGTTCTAGTTCACTGACTAAGACACCAGCTTAGGTGCAAAACGACTAGGTAAACTTTCCCAGAGATTTCCAAGACAATTGACAGTGACAATAGATCCTAGATCCCACGTCTTGGATCACCAACCCCAAAGTTTTTAAGTATCTAGAGGACACTAGACTCTTAAGAGTGTCTCTCTTACCTGACTTTGTCCAAGTTGGGAGTCCTCCACAAGGGATGATTCTAGATGAGACAGACTAGGTGATGACGTTGAATCTACAGAGGTACTGGTGACCAGTTCTCCTAAAGCATCAACTTGTCTCCTCAGACTGTGTAAGGTGCCCTCTGTCTGCCGCTTCCCTTTGATTAACACTTCTGCTTGCTTAGACATACAGTGTCGAAGTTGAGCCTGAAAAGTGTTACCAGATATCGGGTTTATACAAAAGAAACACACCTGAACCATTACTCAGCTTTATCTTTTTTTTTTTTAAAATATTTATTTATTTATTATGTATACAATATTCTGTGTGCATGCCCGAAGACCAGAAGAGGGCGCCAGACCTCTTTACAGATGGCTGTGAGCCACCATGTGGTTGCTGGGAATTGAACTCAGGACCTTTGGAAGAGCAGGCAACACTCTTAACCACTGAGCCATCTCTCCAGCCCTCAGCTTTATCTTTGATAAGCAAGTCTGACTTCAATAAACAGGAATGAGGGTGGGGCATTTTAGTCCTTGCACTGGGGAGGCTGAGGCAGGAAAGCCCCAAGTTCAAGGCCACCCTATAGTTGGCCTATGGTACAGAGGGAGACCCTGTCCCATGGATGCATTTTATAGGTTGAACACAACTGCACATCAGAATTGTGGACTGGACCGAGTACCCTTGCATGTGCTAGGCAAATGCTGTACCACTGAGCCATATATCCAAGGCCCTAGAATTCAAATGGTTTTTTTTTTTTTTTTTTGGTTTTTCGAGACAGGGTTTCTCTGTGGCTTTGGAGCCTGTCCTGGAACTAGCTCTTGTAGACTAGGCTGGTCTCGAACTCAGAGATCCGCCTGCCTCTACCTCCCAAGTGCTGGGATTAAAGGCGTGCGCCACCATCGCCCTCAAATGGTTTTTTTTTAATTGATAGCTGTTTACTACTGTGTGATGTCAGCTTCTCTGAACTTATACAATGTGATCTTTAAACCTCTTGAGTGCTGCCAAAGAGTGGACTGAGCAGTATGTGGGCATGGGAACGCTTCTCCACTCCTGCCAAGTGCCAACTATCTCATATTGGCTATTTGCAATTTCTTAAAGAAGCAACCTTGAGTCGATCTTCACGGTGGCGCAGTCTCTCACGGAGTGCTTCTCCACGCCAGTGTTCATCCTTTTTCAGAAAGGAAAGAGATCAGTGAGTCACCAACTGACACGAGTGGGAGCCTACCATCTTTCCCTCCTACCCTGGCACCCCAAAATCTGTTTTTAGCTTTCCTGGGGGAGGTGGGAACCAAACTATCACTCTGTGAAGCCCAGAGAAGAGCAGGACAAACTTTACCATGATGTGAACTTGGGAAAAGTTAGATTTTTCTTCAAAAAGTCTCTCATTCGTGGTAAATGGGAAGTTCTCTTTCAAGCTTTCCAGCTCTCCCAAGTTTTCGTTTCTTTCCAAAATAGCTGCTAGATCTGCTGGTAGTTCTGGAAGAAACTGGTTGAGATTCTTCAGACTGGTTCTGATTTCGTCTTTCACTTCAGACTTAAGTGTCCTCATTGCATCACTGATTTCCATTTGCCTTCTCTCCAAGTCTTTTTGGTTTGCCATCTAAAGAATGAATTGGAGTCAAACACCAGGCTGCTTAATGTGTCTTATATTGAAGGATCTACAGATCCGGGACTGGCTCATTAGTAAAGTGCTTGCTTTGCAAGTATAAGGACACACAGACTGGGCAAGGTGGGGAGGCAGAGACAGGTCAATCTTTGGAATTCCCTGGCCAGCTTGGCTAACTAGTGAGCTTCTGGTTCAATGAGAGCCCCGTCTCAAGTCAGTAAGAGCAATTAGAGGAAGACACCAAGGGTCCTTCTGTCTTCTACATGAACCACTAAGTGTAAGCAACACCCATATCCAGATTTGTTACCCTAATACCACACATGCACACATATGTCACATAATACCCTAATACCACACACAGACCACACAATACCCTAACAACATACAGTAAGTAGTGTTCTGTGGCCCATTTCAGTTCCTGCCCTGACTTCCCGCTGTGATGGAGTGTGACCTGAGAGTTGTAGGGTAAAATAAACCCTTTCCTCCCCAAGTTGCTCTTGGTCATGGTGTTTACCACAGCAATAGAAACTCTAAAGATAGCAAGGTGGATGTCTTCTAAGGAATGACACCTGAGTTTGATCTCTGGCTTCCAGCTGTATGTGTACACATGTAAATTACACACATCAGTGCACGCATGAGCACACACATACACGCACACACACACACACCATAAAAAGTTGAGGGGTGGAGGGAGGTATTGGTCAGTCAATAAAGTACTTGGCTTGCAAGCATGAAAACTTGAGCTCAATACTCAGAACTCATATAATGTTGAGCATAGGGACACGTGTAATCCTAGTGCTGGAGAAGTGGAGGCAGGGCCTCCTTGGGGTTCCTGCCCAGCCAGTCTAGTCTAATAGGTGAGCTCCAGGACAAGGAGCCCTGTCTAAAGAGACAGGGCTGGGTTTCCTGACAGTGATACCCAAGGTGTACTCCAACTCCACACATGCATGGACCTGCACACTTAGGAGCCTGTGCCTGCACACCTATTTTTTAAAACAGTTGAGCTGGCTCAGCAGGTAAAGTTAAGCCTTCCAACCTGAGTGGAACCCCTAAGACCCAGTAGTAAGGAGAGAACTGGCTCCCTCAAGTCGTCTTCTGACCTCCACATGCTTGCCATAGTGTGTGTGTGTGTGTGGGGGGGGGGGATGCACTCACATACAACACAAATAAATGTCATTCTAAAAAAAGCTAACAAAATAATTTTAGAAGTATATTTTTAACCAATACCTTTTCCTTAAGTGAATGTCTAAATTTTAGGGCTGTAAAAGATTTAACTTATGGAATATTCTTAACAATAAACTTTTCACAACTCCCACATGCAACATATAAAGCCTGCCTGAGCCCTGGGGAGGGGTGTAATAGGCCCACATGGTGGCCCAGGCTGGCCAGGTGGGCTCTGGGGGTGAATACCTGTTTCTTGAGCTCCAGGTACTCATGCTGCATCTGGCTGAGCTCCTTCATGAGGCGTTTGGCCCGCTCATGGTTGTCCTGGGCTACCAGTTCAATTGTGGCCATTTCCTTTTGCATGCAGCTCTTCTCCTGTTTTTGCTCCTAGCACAGAGGGAGGCAAATTCTTTGTAGTCACTTATGGGCAGTTGTAGTTACTGGCTTCCACACTCACTAGCATTGTAACCACCTCCGTTTCTACAGCTGCAGAATGGAGCTAAGTCTATCTGCATTCTGGAGGCAGGTGGGTGTAGTGTGGCCGGGAGAATCCCAAAGTTTGAACCTCGGATCTTTAGCACTATCTCTGACAAGTTACTTCCTCCTTCCCAGTCCACTTTAATTATCTGTGAAATGGTAACAATATTATCATGGGTAATGTGTATGTGTGGGTTATTTTATTTACTTATGTATTTGTGAACAGGGTATGTAGCCACTATGTAGCTCTGGCTGACCTAGAACCTACCATGTAAGACTAGGCTGGCCTCAAACTCAGAGATCTTTGGCCTCTGGTTCTGAGTGCTGGGATTAAAGGTGTGTGCCACTGTGCCTAGATTAAATTTCAGACATCTAACTTCCATCACCTTGTCTAGTCCTAGGTGTAAGCACACAGCCTCTGGGAAGTGCATCCAGATTCCTTTCAAACAGCAGATTCCATTACTCCCTGCAGAGAGCAGGGAGAACCCATTCTTCAGAAATCCACTGTGCTCATTGCTCTCAGTGATGTAATTATCCCTCCTCCAACCAACACACCTAGTTCAAGGGTAAAAGCGTGGTACACCGTACTTCCTGATTTTTGTATATCTGATAAAAGCCAGTGTTGACCAAAAAGAGCAGAATGCAGCTATACAAAAGTTCCTACCAATCCAACACCTGGCAGCCCACAGTGGGCTGAACACAGTGCACAGCTCTGTGCTGTGCTGATACTGTCCACAGGATGGCCCTGCTGGCAGCCAGAGCTGCTCTGGGGCTAATGACCAAGTCTCAGAAAAAAACTCACCTTGTGCTTCAATAATAAATTAGGATTAAATACACCAATAATTACCATTGGGTTAGGACCTGGGTTGATGAGTAATTTATTTTCTCTCCAGTGAAGCAGTGGATAAGTAAAATGTATATGTCAATTCAATGTAAACCGATTGTTACACTAGACTTCCAGGGTAGCAAATACTCACTAGAAGGTTTTTCTCTAGTTGGTTCTGCTGTATCTTCAATGCTTCCTTTAGGCCAGCCACCTGCTTCTCCGCCTTTTTCCTTTCTGTTAAGAACTGATTTCGCAGTAGGCTGAAATCTGCCCTCATAGCGTCTGCCTCTTTCTGCAGGGCCAACAGCTCACTTGACTTCTCCATTAGCTGCTGTTCCCGTTCTGAAAGCTCCTGTTCTGGAATGTGAGCATGTTTAGTAGGTTTGGCCAGAGGCCCTGGAGCAGCTGTGGGCAGAGCTTTCTATCTCATGGACAGGTTGTCTTACAGTGGTGTTACCCACTCTGCTGTTTCCCTCTAGTACCTGGTTTTACAAGCCTGCCCCGACTCACTCCATGGGCTCAAGAAAGGCTCACCAAGAAAGCAAACTGATTCCAGAATGGATCCCTATACTCAACCTTCAGTGCTGATACTGTATTTCTGAACAGCTGGGGTCAAATCCACCCCACGTGCATAGCTCCCAAAAACTTGCCCTTGAGAGTCTAACTTCCCATTTTCCCACTCATCTTCCTGGATGATGAAGAAGGGCATGAAGAGACACTTTGGCCAGTTTTAGGGTCAAGCCTCACCATAAGGACAAATTCCCCGACCTCCCTATGGCCTCAGCCATCTCTCACAGGGCTGCTGCCCGAGTCTTTCCACATACTTCCCAAGATGAACAGAACAGCACCCACCCTGTCACATCCCTGCAGGGTACTTACTGGCCTGGGAGAGCCTCTTCTCCAGGCTCTCACTGCACCGCTCCTCTTCCTGCAGGGTCCTGAGGCGTCCTTCGGCTGCCGACACGTCTGTGAGCAGCTGCTCCAGTTTGAGTTTCTGCTCTGTCAGCTCCTTCTCCAGCTGCTCTTGTTGCTGTATCAGGGTCACTTTACCAGCCTCTAGCTTCTGTTCCTCACTTTCTCTTTCCTTCTGGAGTTTTTGAAACATCTGAATAGAAAATCACCTTAGTCAGTCATATAGGAATAAGTGTCCCCGATGATCCTCAGAGAGATTCCAGTTCAAAACAAAGGAGAGAGAAGTCTGCAAGGGGAGAGGGGAGGCAGAGACAGACAGACAGACAGCGAGAACAATTGCCAGTGCCTTTATAAAGATGAAGCAGGGTCTAGAAAGCCACCTGGACACCATGAGAAGAGAATGCAAGGTGCTAATGTATTAGCATGTGGCCATTAAGATCTTTACAGGACCAATGCCTAAGACTGAACAGTCCATAACTTAGACTAATCAGAGTCAGTCACCCAGGCGATGCACACAGGGCGGTCTGATCTTGGGTTAGGAGGTGGGAGGCACGAAGCTCTCATGAAATGTAGAACACCCCCTTTTCTGTGCAGTACCGCTTCTTGCTGGTCTAGCTGGAGCTTGCTCTCTCTGATTTCATTCTGAAGTTCCTGAAGTTGCTGTTCTTTAGTCTCTGTCTCTTTCTGGCAGTTCTCAAACCTGGCAATCCATTTGCTGATGTCCTTCTGCAGCTGCCCCTGTTCACTGAGCAGAGCATTCTGGCGCTGGGTGGTGTGGAGCAGGTCCTTTAAACGAAAGAACACATTGGAACTCTTTACAAAGCCACTTCCTAAGGTGACCACATCCTTTACTCTCAGCAAACTTAACAGAGAAGTGCCCAGAACTCAGAGTTAACCCCCGGCTTGCCTTCTCTCAGTGCCTACTTAACAAAGAAGATGGCAAGGGATGGCAAACCTCACTAAAGCTTCAGTTGCCCTGTCAACAAGATGGGGATAAACAGCACTCTGCAAAAACCTCAGGACTGCTAGGAAGAGAAACTACAAACGAGGGCTAATCCTTTTGTTACTATCTGAAATCTTTAGACAGGTTCAGAACTTAGAACAAATTTGAAAGAGTTAGCTTTATTTTTAACACAGAAAAAATTTAAGAATCTGACATACAAAGATTTTTTTTTTTGAGGGCTGGAGAGATGGCTCAGTGGTTAAGAGCAATGGCTGTTCTTTCAGAGGACCCAGGTTCAATTCCCAGTACCCACATAGCAGCTCACAACTGTAATCCCAGTTCCAGAGAGATCCAACAGACACACATGTAGGCAAAACACCGATGCACATAAAATAAAAACAAAAACGATTTTTGAGCCAGGCCTCAATCCCAGCACTCGGGAGGCAAAGGCAGGTGGATCTCTGTGAATTCAGAGCTTTTTCCAGTACAGGCTTGAAAGCAACAGAGAAAAATCCTGTCTTGAATACCCCCCAACAACAACAAAAAATTGTCTTAGAAGTTTTATGTTTTCGAAATACAGAATTCTAAAGGTAAAAGAAAAGAATTTAACGTTTCATCTAATTTCTTGAAGCCCTCTGAACCCTAAACTGTATGTAGTCCTGCTCTCACAGGCTGACACTGAGTGACCAAGGTCATCAGAAGCACAGGGTCACAAGCTGCACTAGTCGGCTCCTGACTGGATGGATGCTCCAATTGACACCTGCTCTGCAGTTCTGTGAGCAGTCTCACGGGAGTGGGGAGAGCACCTGTGCCATAGGTCCCCATGTCCCGGTAGAGGCTTCTAGGAACTGCTGTTTGACTCTGGTCTAACTACTACCCTACTTCTTCCTAGCTTTGGGTCAACTTGAACCAAGTGCTAACACAGACCAGAGAACCATCCCAGGAACAAAGCCTTATTTGAAGGCAGTGCTGTGTAGGTAGATAGCCTTATGGAGCTGTGTAGGTGGCCCTATGGAGCTGCGTAGGTAGATAGCCCTATGGTGCTGCATAGGTGGCCCGATGGAGCTGTTTAAGAGGCTATATGGTGTTGCGTATGGGGCCCTATGGTGCCGTGTAAGGGGTATACAGTGCTGTAGTGTCAGCTGAAAGAAGTCAATTATATTTGTGAACCTTACCTGCTTTGCTACGTTCAAATGGTCTTGGGTATTATCTAGTTCCTCCTGTAGCGAGTTTATGGCTTCCCGTTTATCTACAGAAACATTTTCATAAAATGTTCTTTATACATATGCATACAGTTTTTCACTTGAACCTCCTCAAATTTCATCAGAACTAAATTTATATTTATTTCTGTTAAAACAATGACAATGCTACATTACCTTATTAAAGGGCAAAAGACATGTACAACCTAGGTAGGGGTTTTCAAAGATTTCCATATTTTCATATTTCAAGGAATTCATAAACACTTAGATAATAATGTTGGTTAAATTAGTGGTTTAAAAATGGGTGTACTGCACATTACTTCTGGAAATGTAAACTTGGCAGACTCTTTCATGAAGACAATGCATAGATAAAATTGGTATCTATTACTAGCTCTGTGATCTTTAGTAAACTGCAAGAAATTAAGCCTCAGTATCATTACCTATAAACAGATAATGGATAAAATACTGCTTTCTATGTCAAAAATGCTACAAAGGTTTTGTTTGCTTTTGAAAGTGTCTCATGCAGCCCAGTTGGTTTTAACATTAATGTTCCTCCTGCCTCAGTCTAATGAGTACTGTGTGTGTCACCAGATCTAGTTTTGTCACATGGATTAAAAGTGAGACAGTACATACACCATGACTAGAACATAATAAATGCTTAATAGCTATAAATACTTAGCCATTTCTCCTAAATAAATGAACAAAAACATTTGGTAGTAAGAGACATTTCTACTATTTGGGTGCACGCACACACACACAGAGTTATGGTGTGAGGAGTGATGTCAACCTATTGTGTATTTGTGCAAGTGAGTATGAGCATGAGCCATGCAGCAATGTGGAGGACAGAGGTCAATATCTGGGAGTCAGTTCTCTCCTTGTATTGTCAGCTTGAAGTTCAGGTTGTCAGGCTTGATGCCAAGTGCTTTTTACCTATTGAGCCACCTCACTGGCCCAAAAGTAATTTTTATATAATTTTTTGTTCTAATTCTAAACTGTTCCCTAAGGAACATAAATTACATTTTAAAAAACAGCTTACAATAAAATCCATGTATCATGTGTGTCTTAAAAGTATATGATCTAGACCTGGTATATTTATAGAGTGGTACAATCAAATCCATAATCTAACTTTAGAAAGAAACCCCATGCCCCATTTTGCATCACTTACTTCTCTTAGGGGCAAGCTGCGGGCTGTGGAGTCATGAGTCTGCAGTCCGTCCCTTACCTTGGAGCTGCTGCTGCACCGTGGAAATGTCGCTGTGAAGGGCTAGCTTGTCTTGGCTCAGGTGCTCCAGCTCCTGCTGCAGCTCTCTGACACGCAGTTCCAGCTTCCCTAGCGTTGACTGCTCTGTTCTGTTGCTTTCTTCAGAAGCTGCTAGAACTCTACCATGGAACAAACCAGACTGTTAAGCAGAAAATACGCACACACGAGGCCGACTGAGGGGCAGTGCCACCCTCCATAGTGCACAGTAGGAAGTCGGGATGAGGATGAGGTCTGGAATATAGGATGCCAGAACTCATTTCCAAAAGACACCTCACCAGCATTCCAAACAGGAAATTAAAAAAAAAAAAGTTCACTAAGTTTTACATGTGACATTCAAAATTCCCAAAACAAAACAAAATAAAACTGAGTGATAAACATAGACTGCAAACTCGTCAGTAAGTGAAAAAGCAGGAAATACACTATTTGTACAATTTGTACCATAGGGTTTGCCACTCTAGCAAGTGTGTATCTCACTGTGGTTTTAAGTTGGGTGTCCCTAGTGATGAATGATACTTGGTGTTTTTTTCATGTGCTTCTTTTCCATCATGTAGCTTCTATGAATATATATGTTCAAATCTTTATTTAGCCCATTTAAAAAACTAAGTTATTTTCTATTAAGTTTTGAAGGCTCTTTATAATAAATATTTTGCACATGTAAGTCTTACATTACACACATGGTTGAGAAGATTTTTCTCCTAACTCTTGTCATGTATTTTTATTACTTTCAAAAGTGTCTTTTGGAGAGATCTTTTAAATGCCTTGCTTTTATTTTTATTTATTATTTTTGAGGAAGGATCTTTCTATGTAGCTCTGGTTGTCCTGGAACTAGCTCCGTAGACTAAGCTGGCTTGGACTCATGGATTTCCATCTTCTCCTATCTCCCAAGTGCTGGGATTAAAGGTGCGTGCCATCACACCCGGACTGCATGTCCAGTTTTTAATAAGATCTCTTATTACTACTGTGCATGCGTCTGAGCGCAGGCCAGAGCACAGCCTCCAGGAGCTGGTTTCCTTTCCCCCTGCTGTGGTTTCTTGTCATGTTTCTGCTATGTGGGTTCTCCAGGTTGGCTGGCATGTGGGCTTCCAGGTGATTCTCCTATCTCTGCCTCCCATCTCTCTACAACAGTGCTGGGATTCCCAATGCACAACCCCAGCATCTGGCCTTTTATGTGGGTTCCAGGGTTTATCTCAGGTTATCAGAGCATCTGTGCCTTCTTGTCAGCATTAAATGTCCTATTTTACTTATCTACTTTTGTGTATATGTGTAAGCATTTGTGTGTAAGATGTTTACCTGTACAGGCATGCATGAAATGATACAGTAGCTCTCTGAACCCGGAACTCACTCTTTTGGCTAAATGAGCTAAGCCAGTAGGCCCATGGGGTCTTGCCTTCTCTCCTCCTTCCTACAGAGTTCTGGTACCTGGAACTCAGGTCCTCATTGAGCCATCTCCCCACCACTGTGCTTTACTGTTTTTATATGGATCATGTTTTTGGTGCCTAGATAAGAAAATTTTTGTCCTACTTGAAGTCACAAAGGGCTTGTTTTCTCTTAAGTTTTATATTTAATTTTTATATTTATGTTTATGGCTCACTTTCTTTACACGTATTTATTCAGTTGGAGAGGGGGTATGCACATGCCATGTTGCATGTGTGGAGATAAAATGACAACTTAAGGAGTTGTATTCTTCTACTTTGTGAACTCAGGGAATTAAACACAGGTTATCCCAGGCTTAGCAGCAAGAATTGTTACCCACTGAGCCATTTTGCTGGCTTACGTGACTAAGTTCAGCCTGCATGCATGTCTGTGCACTACTTGCATGCCTAGTACTCAAGTGGCCAGAAGGGAGTGTCACAATGCCTGTAACCAGAGATACTTATGGTTATATGCGAGCATGTAGGTGGTAAAAATTGAACTCAGAACCTGGGAGAGCAGTAAATGGCCTCAAACTCAGAAATTCACCTGCCTCCGCCTCCCGACTGCTGTCTAAAGAATTCTATGAATTGTTGGTCTTTTGCTTTCCTTATAAATTTTAGAACCAAATTTTGAATTTCTAAAAAAGGAAGGAAAAAATGCTTACTGGGATTTTGACTGCAATTGTTTTCAATATGTAGATCAATCTGAGAACAATTTGTCTCTTACAGAAATGAAGAAATTGTTCCTTTGCATTTGTTTCCAGCAAAAGAGAGTGTGTGTGTGTTTCAGAGGACACCCTTTGGTGTTTAGAGCTGCTCGCCTTTTTCTTTTGGAGGCAGGGTCTCCTAGTGCCTAGAGCTCATGCAGGCTAGGGTGGCCTGTGAGCTTCAGAGACCTCCCTGTGCTGGGACTATGAGTGTATGGTTCTGCATTCACACGGGCTCTTGGGGACTGAACTCAAGTCCTCATGCTTGAAAACAACCACTCTACCTCCAACCCCAGGCCAGATTGCTTGTTTTTTTTATTTTATTTTAAAAAGAAAAGAAGCTAGCTTTCTTCATTTTACATACCAATCCCAGTTCCCACCCCCTCACCTCCTCCCAGCCCCATCCATTCCTTAGAGAGGGGGTAGGCACATTGCTTTGGGGAGATCCAAGACCCTCCCTACTATATCTAGGCTGAGCAAGGCATCCATCCAAAGAGAATGGGTTCCAAAAAGCCAGTACAAGCAGTAGGGATAAATCTTAGTGCCACTGCCAGTGGCCCTGCAGTGTGTCCAGCCATACAACTGTCACTTACATTCAGCAAGGCAGTTTTTGAAAAAATGCTCTTAAGGGGAGAAAAGTTGAAAAAAAAAAAAAACCCAGAAAATTATGCTATAAGGTTTGTGAAATATTTTTTTCTGTTATAATTTTTGCTGTTTTGTTGAGTCAGGGTTTCATTGTTTAACAGTGTTGGCTGTCCTGAAACTTGCTCTATAGACCAGGTTGGCCTCAAACTCAGAGATCCACCTGCCCAAGTGCTGGGATTAAAGGCGTGCGTCACCACACTTGGCTTTTGCTATTGATTTGAAACAGGTTCTTATTAAATAGCACTGGTGGCTTAGAACCTGCTATGTAGGCCATGGTGGCCTTAAATTCATGGCAATGCTCCTGCCTCAGCTCCTGGGTACTGGGATTCCAGACATGCAGCACTATGAGCAGCTCCCTTACCTTTTGGCATGTGAAGACTTCTTTTCCCAAGTTTCACACTGTTCTTGGAGATCTTCCTTTTCTTTAGTCAAACACTCCACGCATGACCGCAGTGCCTGGGTCTCGGCCCTCACTCGCTCTATTTCCCGCTTGTCTCTCTCCAGCAGCTGCTTCTGCCACTCTATTTCCCTGCTCTGCTGCTGTGCTGTCTGCTGCAAACTCTCCAGCTCCAGCTTCTCCTGAGTCAGACAGGAAAGACTTCAGAACCCTGAGGAGAAAGGCTGGGGAAGGCACAGGTTTTCTTTCGTACCTCCAGCACGTCCACCTGGGTCTTCTCCAGCTCCGTCAGCTTCTGGTCGTGCTGTAGCCTCAGACCTTGGAGCTCACTGTTTTCAAGTTGCAGCGTGTTTGCTACATTCTTCAGTTCTGACAGAGACAAAGCGGGTCAGTGCCAGGAAGAGAACCAGGAGACAGAGCACGAGCACGACAGACTGCACCTCCTTGTTGACCGACACAGAAACACAACTTTGCTGGATTACCTAAATGCTGATTTTATTTTTAAAGGAAAAACCTTTTTGGAAGTCCTGTTAAAAACACTAATTTGTGGCTGGCTGGTGGTGGCGCACACCTTTAATCCCAGCACTGGGAGGCAAGTAAACAAAAATGACACTAATTTGTTAAAAAACATTTAATAAAATTCTGATTCTAGGAGCATTTATTTCCATATAGAATGAACTAAGTACTTTTTTTTGAAAAAATTAATTAAAATAGGAAAAATTTGGACCCACATGGTGGAAAGAACCAATGCCCCAAAGATGCCTGACTTCCATACTGTTTCTCACATGTACACATTTAGTAAGCAAAACAATGTAATAAAAAACTCAAAAGATGACTATTACAAGAGCATTTTGGGGTGTTTTATTTCAGGAGTACACTTTGTTTGACCCACAGTCAATGGTAGTTACCTAAAAGCCTCAGGTGGACTGGGAAGCTCTGGACAGGAACCTGACGTGACCGAGTCTGTGAATGCAGCTTCCTCCTCCCAAATATATACAGCCTGAGACTGCTATGCAGGCCTACAGAGACTGGACCCCACCTCCACTGTGCTGCTCTAGTGGAGTGAGTGTGGCCTATGTCTGCTTATCTGGTGTTCTCCCCATTCCCTCACTTCACAGACAGGTTTCCAGGACACTGCCAGTAAAAAGCATTTGCTATGTGGATATGAGGACCTGAGTTTGGACCCAGAACCCACAGAAAAAGTATATAACTATAGCTATAACTGTAGTATTCTATGTGTGTATGTGTGGGGTGGGGTGCAGAGGTAGGAGGATCACTGGGACCAGGTTTAGTGAGAGCCCTCGTCTCAAGGGAATAAGATAGTGACCCAACAGGACATCAGATGTCCTCCTCTGGGCTGTGTACACACGTAGGCATGCACACACTATGCTCACAGAAAATAAAACATGATCATAAATAAATAAATAAAATAACTAGGCTATATCTTATACTCACCATTCACCTAAATTTTTTTCGCTCTAATTTTTCATGTCTTTAAGTATTAAACATAAGCCTTTTCTTTCCAGTTCTGTAATCACAAATCACGCTATGGTGCACATAAAGGCGGGCCATCTCTAGATGAGTAGAAATAGGCACTTCAGCTTGTTGTTTTTCAGTCGGCTTTAGTGGCTATACCTGATCTGATATCTTCTATGGCCCCACAGCCCCGAGGCCTGGCGAGATTTCCAGTCATACCAGCACCAGCTCTGTTGTTGCCGCCAAATGTACTTTTTTGACTAAGTCTCTATCATTCTCTTTACCAATAAAGACTCGGGAGTCAGATGTTGGGGTGAAAACCTGCTAGCTCAGAGAGGCTGAGAAGCAATCAGCTGGTTTTCTTTTTTGGCCAGAGACCTAACAAGACAGCTTCTCTTCAGCTGTCCCAGACCAAAAATACCATGAAACTCCCTACTCTTTCCTGTGTGCCTCTGCCTCTTTATCCATCTTTCTGTATGGTTATTCCTGTCAACTAATAAAATCAACTAATCCAAGGTTGATTTTATTAACACAGCTTTGGGTTTCACAGTGTGATCAAATAGCCCACAAAATTGGTTTTACAAATTTGAATATTTGAAACCTCTCTGTTATACCCCATCAGTTCTAAGAGCCTTCCTTCCAACAGCACACTCTAATCAGCCACTAATATGGCTACTTCCCTTTAAATAAACCTTAAGAAATGGAATGGCAGGGACCATCATGTTCCTTTCATAACTTGCTCCTCTTTGCTCATCAGTGATGTCAGTGTGGTGAGGTGCGGCACAGATGCTCCCAGCCTCACACTTTGAGACCTGCTCTTTAAACTTACCAGCCTTATGTTTCTGCAGCTGCTGTAAAACTACCTGAAGGTTTTCTTCCTCTTTCTCCATCTCCTGCTTTATAAGTGCGAGCTGAGTCTTCTTTTCACTGATGTGGACATTCAGTTCTCCTTTCTGGAAACTCAGTTCTTCCAGCAGAGACTTTACTTCCTGTGTTTAAATAAAAGTCATCTCCTCTGTGAAGAACTGGCATCCCTTTCACAGGAGTCAGCTCTGTTGTTTTATCTTGCATGCCTAATTTGTAAATTAGTTTATAGCAATTTTTGCCTTTGGTGCCAAGAACAGAACCATATTTTATACTAACATCTACCGTGCAACAGAAAAAAGTAACATAATTCATACATAGGTCATTGTGCGATTTTCCCCATACAAAGACTGCTTCCAGCCAGCCTCAGGGGCTGTCAGGACAGAAGGCTGGGAGCACAGATACTGTCACAGACAAGAGGCTGCTCTCAAATACAAGAGGAAGAAACTCCTTAAGAGCAACTGAAAAACAAAACAAAACAAAAAAACAAAAAACAAAACCCAAACCAAAACAGGAGGTTGCATGTGGCTGAGCTTTGAGAAACAGGCAGAATGGGATGTAGACTGTCCTGGGATAAGGGCATTTCTGGACAGGAAAGGCATGAGAAAGCCAAGAAGCAAGAGAACCCAGAGTGTATCAGGTGGTAACCTGACTCCCTCATCACCAATACATTAACACATGTCCAACAGCACTGTGGAGGAGGCCCTTCTATCTCCATTTGGGGAGAACCAGGGAAAAGCTTCAATATAAACCTACGGCACTGCCCTGGACTCCTAAGAGAGCCTATTGTCAAACATACCCTGATGTGACTGCACTTCTCAGCGACTTCCGTCTCGCCCAGTGTCAGGGCTTCCTGGAGGTCAGATTTTGCCTGGACCAGGCTGTCCTGGAGTAGGAGCAGCTCCTCCCTTCTATGCCTCAACTGCGTGTCTAGGTCAGCCAGCTCCTGCTGCTGGCTTGTCACCTGAAAAAGGAGAGATAGGAAGTTGGACTTCAAGATGTATCTATTTTTAATATTTTTGTATTTTCCCATCTTTTCTACAATTAATAAACCTTATCCAGCAATCCTCAAGAATAAATATGTCTTAATTAGTCTTCTTCCGAGTATCTAGCCACACCTGGCTTTTCAGTGTTTCCAGCTCAGCTCTCTTGGCCTGAAGGAGAGTCTCAGATTCTCTGAGGATCTGCAGGTGGCGATCCTCATTGCATTCTGCTATCTCGATGTCTCTTTGCAGACTCTGAAGCCTACAAAGCAGGGCAGTACTTTAGCAGCCTCTAAAGGGGCCTGGCACCCACAGCTGCTGTGGCCCCCACCCCCATCCTGGGGCCCCTCAGAGGCCTTTACTCACTCTTCTGTCAGTTTCTCCTTCTTCTCATTCAGACACTGGAAATCTGCATCTTTGGCTGCTACAACTTTGTTTATTTCTTTTAAGATCTCTTCTTGTTTGATTTTGTGCTGCTCCAAGTCCTCTGCATCAGCCTGGAGCAGTCTACAACGGGATATTTACCCCCTTGGCTCTTCAGGCTTAGCACACATCAACCATATTACTCTGTGCACCTCAGCCCTCAGTGGCACAGGAGTCAACCCACCTCAGCAGTCCCGAGGTCACCTACCTCAGTAGCATTGGGGTCCACCCAGCAGGCTGGGCTCCACCCACCTCAGAAGTCTGGGGTCTACCCACCTTAGTTGCTGCTCGGCTTTCATGAGGTTAAGTGCAGTCTCCTGGGCTCTCTTTTCTAATGCCTCAGCATCTGACTCAGTTTGTAATAAATTTCTTTCAGCATCAGCGAACTTTTCAACAGCATTCTTTGTCTAGAAGAGAAAGTGCCATTAAAACCAATTCGACTATAGTACTTACCATAGTTATTTACCGAATTAACTGGTACAAATCTCAGTAAACATGACACAAACAGAAACACCTGAAAACATTCCTTTGCTATGACTCTCTAATACTCAGAGAGTTGTCCAGAAGCAAATAATCACTATGTAAAAATGTAGTTAGATAAATCTGGACAAATGAAAGATGAAGATAGTGAATTAAAACAGACTGCGACCTAGTCTTTGTAAGGGTGTGTAGCAGCATGCAGATGTCGGAGCACGCTAGAGCAGAAAAGAACTTCAAGTGGTGTAAGCAGGTGAGAGGAACTGTACAACTACATCTTTGTCAACAAAGAGCTCTTAAGAAAAAAAGTCGTTCCAAGTTGATGAGACTGACTGGAGATACCTTTTTATTTCAAAAATTGGATTATTATCAAATCTAGTCAACTAAATGGCAATAATCTGTCTCCTTTCTGCTGCTCTTCTTTAGGGACAGGCAGGACTTTTCCTACTTCTTCTCTAGTCTCTGTGTCTCTTTTTCTTTCTCTTCTCTTCCTCTCTCTCCCTTTCCCACTCCCTTCCCTCAATAAAACTTTCAGTTAAGTTTAAATAAATAAAAATAAATGGCAACAATTTTACCAAGCTTTCACTCTCTCGCATAGATTCTTCTTACATCAGATATCATTGTGAAATGGGCTCTCATTTTGTGATGGTGACTTCTTTATGGCTAAGGAACACCAACACCAAATCTCTTTGAAGTCTCTGGATATATTCCTATGCTAGATTTGGCATATCAAACATCAACTTGGTTTCCTGATCTGCCTAGATTAAGAGGTTTAATGAATCTAAAAGGAGAGTTTGGTTTGTACTTGACTGAATATTGACTCACATAGAGCCTCAGAAGTCATAGGTGTCTGCGGGTGAAATCTGTCTGAACTGTCCTGTGGATGTCAACTGGCTGGAAGGTCCACAGCACTGGACACGTCACCGCATCTCTTCACTGAGCAGCCTTCTGCCGGCTCATCAGCAGAGCATCACCCCGCTCAAGGAGGAAGGCGCTCTAGCCTCCTGGGCAGGTTCTAACATGTCTGGCACATTCAGTTGCTTCCTCTCCCCTGCTTCACAAGATTAACCCCGAGTCCCTGGGAGGAGAGAGCGGTCTGCTGTGTGGTCAACTTTCCTCTGTCCACTGCCCATGGCCAATGCTACTGATTAAAGCAAATACAGGTGATATGTTTTCTCTACTTCTCCACACAGCAACCGAATGTTTACAGCAGAAGGACTCCTCTTAAGAAAAGAAATGAGGGTCAGGCAGTGGTGGCGCACACCTCTAATCACAGCACTCGGGAGGCAGAGGTGGGTGGATCTCTATGAGATTGTGCCTGGTTTACAGAGTGAGATCCAGGACAGCCAGGGCTACACAGAGAAACAGAGAAACCCTGTCTTGAAAAACTGAAACAAAACAAAACCAAAAACAAAACAAAAAGAAAAAAAAAAAAGAAATGAGGACATCCCTGTTCTCATTTAAGACCATGTACCATGTGAGGGAGGCTTCCTGGAAGGGGCTATGTCTGTGAAGACTGATGGACTCCAATGATGTAGGGCTGAAATGCTGCAGGCCAGACAGAGACTCACCACAGTTTACACTGGGTTAGCTTCAGCCTTGGCCACCTCTGTGGGGGACCTGAGACCCTGTTAACTAGCAGATAAAACCTGATCTAACATCCTGAAAAACAAACTCAAAACCAAAACCAAACAAATGAAAAACCTTTGGGTTGTATTGCAACAACAGTACACAGAATTTAATAGGTGAAGCTACCCATTCAGTTCCAAGTAGTAGGTTTCTATTAACTTAAATAGATTCAAGTTGAACTAACAAAATAAAAATAGTTTCTGAGGTATCTCATGTGCCCAGGGGCTTTGTTTCTCTCTGGAATTCTCATTTACTAAAGAACTCTTAGGAAGGCGCTGCTTCAGCTGTGCAACGCTGGGCCAGTTATAAGCTGCGCTGAGTTGATAGGGAAACCAACCATGCTAACGTCAATTCACAGAGCTGCCAGGGATGCGAAACGAAATGGCGTTTATAAATAGCCACCATACGGGCTTGGAAAATCACCTTCCCTCTGGATTTCTCTTGCGTTGTGGCCGAAAGAATGCTGTTACTGTCACTCACTCACCACAGAGGTAGGTTCAGCAAAGAACATCTCAGAACCTTTCTTTGTTTTTTAATTTCAACTTGGCTGTACTTAAATAAATGAAAATCTATGACCTAGGAACTGAAAGTTCATTACTTCTGTTATCAATGTGAAGAAAAGCAAGACTTCTATAAGAATCGGATTGGTCATTTAAAAAGACACAGATTGAAGAGTCCAAATTAAAAACAAACAACAATCCCTCAACAAACACAGGCAGATGGGAGAGAAGGACATGCTGAACTACACGACTTCAGGAATTTAACATGCTATTTAATACTGAACAGCCTGTGTATTCTTAGCTCGAATTTACGGGAAGGCAAGCAAAGCCTGAGGACCTAAACTACTGGCCTAGATGCCCAGACCTGGACAGTGCTCTCATCGGTTTCCCCTGCAGTCTTAGGCAGGCAGCAGTAGTCGCTGTGTCACACAGGAGCCCCAGCCGGAACCATACCAGACTCACCTTCTCCTTAGTGCAGGAAAGCTCATGCTCAGCCTCTGCCAAAAGTCGGTCAGCTTCCCTGAGCTCCGAGCGCCGCTTCAGAAGAGTCTTCTCTATGCACGCAACCTCGTCGACAATATCCTCATGGCGTTTGAGAGACTTTTCTATTTCTAGTTCAGTCATAAGATTCTCAACATTTCCATCAATGAAGTCCCTAAAAAAATTACATGAATATCAAGAGATTTTAAACATAGATCATATGGACACTCATAGCCTATGAAGAGTGTTCAAGAATTTACTAACTTTCTAAGAGACGTAACTACGGGCTGGAGAGATGGCTCAGAAATTAAGAACACTGGCTGCGCTTCCAGAGGTCCTGAGTTCAATTTACAGCAACCACAAGGTGGCTCACAACCATCTGTAATAGGGTCTGATGCCCTCTTCTGGCCTGCAAGCATACACACAGACAGAGCACTCAATCCTACATACATAGAGAGGTAGCTACAGTTGGTTATGTTCAAAACGTACTATTATTACAAACATGGAATATTCCTGGCAGTAAACACACAATATGTAAAATGCCTGGTGAGTTTGTGCTGTCAACATCTGGCCAAGACAATGCTGCCACATTATTGTTTTGAAAAATAGAAATAAAGGAAGTGGCTACACAATAATATCCAGGTCCTCTGACAGTCCTCAAGGACAGACCCCAGGCCAGTTGGCCTCAAACACTGCATGGATTTGTGACTTACTTCTTTATATTAGAGTAAAACTGTCATAAAAGATTTGACAAAAAAGTGACACAAAATTCAGTAACTCAAGGCTAATATGACAAATTATATGAAAATGCTTCAGAGAAAAACATGAGAACAAACTCAGCACACTGATGTTTTTCTTCTCTCTTTAAACAAAGGTGTGCAGAGAACTTTTGCCTTTTTCTCTGATGACTTAAGTGTCATTTTCTTCCTACTGTTACAGTGGCAGAAGAGATGTCCTACTGCTCCACCACCGCCGTGCTCGTCCTAAGATGTACGTTCACATGACTAGTAGCTATAACCACCCTACCCACGAGCACAGCGTCCCATTCTTCTCAGTGAGTCTCTTGCTTTCCACAGCAGTTTTAATCACTCACCTGTCCACTCCAAGGCAGCAGTGATCTTGTCTCATTCATTCTGCATGCCTCACAGGCCCCCGACCACCCCGAGAGGAGGCCTAGGCTAGTGTGGATTAATTGACAAAAACTGGCGAACAGCCATAATTCATGGGGCACCACAGAAGACAACACTTTATAGAACTGAGCAGACAATAGAGGCTCTGTGAACTGACTGACTCTATGCTAGCTAGGTACAGGTACCTGTAGACGGAGGTCCAGCTATCACCCTATTGACTCTCTGGTTGCTTACACCACTGCATGAGCAGGGCTATGTCAAAGGTTGCTAACCCTAACTTTCACAGGATACCTGAGAGGAAGAAGAAAAAAGGAAAAGTTTAGTGTGAAAGGGACCCCCTGACCTTTGTTTTAAAATTTTTTTTTAAAGATTTTATATCTAAAAAAAAAAAGATTTTATATCTATGAATGTTTTGTTTTCATGTATGTATGTGCACCACAGACTGCCTGGTGTCCACAGAGGTCAAAAAGAGGGCGTCAGATCCCCTGGAACTGGAGTTATGGATATTTATGAGCCACTATGTGGGTGCTGGGAACTGAACCTGGGTCCTCTGCAAAAAGCAACAAGTGCTTTAAACTGCTGAGCCATCTCTCCAGTCCCTCAGCCCCCACCTTTGTTTTGAAAGGCAGGACAGATGGACGGCTTGGGGAGGGCATTTCAGGAAGAAGACAGAAGTGAAGGTGCAGAGGCAGAGGAAAGTGGTGCTAGGGGACAGCACAGACGTGGTTCATGCCAAGTGTTTTCTGAGGCTGAAGTCTAACCAAAACAGGCAGGGTTCAGACTGCCTATGTACCAAGATGAGACTGAGTCCAGTGTTTTCTGGCAGACTGGAGCGAAAGATTCTACATATGGTGGTCAGCGTGGAAGCCATGTTAGTGGTCTAGAATTCCACTAATTAAAGGATACAGCAGTGGAAATAACAGAAAAGGGTCAGTTAGCTCTCTGTATGCAACGTCAGAAGGACAAGGAAACCACACAGACACCACGGAGAACGAAGGTTTGAAAACCCTGTTGTGTGTTCTGCTGTGGTGGTTGGGATGGAGAATGGCTGTGCTGGTCACCAGGGAACCACAAAAAGGCTGATCTGGATGAGCTGCCAGGATACCTTAGATATTCGCTGTCCTAAGTGGTATCTAGCACGGAGCACTAAATTAATTGGAATTAAATTTTATCAGTTCCCTTTGCCACATTTAAAGAACCACATACAGCTAACATTTACTATTTCGCAGTTTAGATTTAAGAAAGTATTACTATGACAGAATGTTTTATGAGGCACTGCTGACTGAGGCACCCTTCCGAACTGATCTGTTATCCTCTGAATTATAGAAATATAATGGTGGATGCTTACTTTCGTTGTTGATGTTTCTGGATGGTTCTATGCAATTCTTCTACTTCATGTTCTAGTTCTTTCTTCTCTTGCAAAAGGTCATCAATATTCTGCAGCAGCTCTTCCACTTCTTTCTCAGAATGCTGCTTGGTTGCTTTCAGCCATTGTTCTTTCCGTCGTTTTGATTTTAGGTGCTGCATTATGTCCTCTAGTCTAGACACTTCATTCTCCTGGTCATAGAACGTGAATGCATTATTGAGATATCGGAGGGCATCTCTTCCCCTTTGCTGTCAGAAGTTGAAATCAATTGGATAAAGTATGCATCTATGGTCTAAAAAATAGTGGGGCATTCTAAGACTTCAGTATGGGAAGAAAAATTGAGTCAAGTCAATTTTTTTCACACGGCAAGATGGAACTGACAGACTTCACATAACTTTTCCATCAGTTTGACTCTACGTTAGAAACTCACCAAACCGCTCTGTCTCTAGAGTTCAGCATCTAGCAGAACAAAGAAACTGAAGTCTCTCTCTACTCTGGACACATGGGAGAACTGTTGAAATAGGTTCCCAGAAGAAGAGGTATTTTGCCTTCATTTTGCAGAATGAAAAAGGTAAACCAAGTCTCAAGAAAGAAGAAGCTAGCTGGAAGGTGGTGGTGCATGCTTTTAATACCAGCACTTGGGTGGCAGAGGCAGGAGGATCTCCAAGTTGGAGGCCAGACTGGTCTACAGAACAAGCTCCAGGCCAGCCAGCCAGCCAAGGGTACACAGAGAAACTGTTTCAAACAAGCAAACAATAACCAAAAGAAGGGGGAAACAAAACAGAAAACTACAACGTCGAGGTGTGAAAGCACACTGGAGAAGCTGTGTGAGTCATGTATTCTTAAAGGGCTCTAGTAGGCCTGAGCATAGCAAACAGGGCACCAACAGGTTTGCTCTTCACCTTTCCCTTTTTCCCCTTGCTAAAAACCATTACGTCATATTCCTAAAGCTAGCCACCAAGTTCTATTCCCTTATTTGGCCACTTCCTCCTCCTGGGGCTGACTACCAAGGTCCAACTACTAAAGTATGGAAGTCCAGCAATCAAAAGCCCCCATTTGGCTACACTAATTAACATGCCCAATCAAAATTACATCATCCTAATGGGAGTTCCCCTTGTCCCTTAATAAACTGCCATTTGCCTAAGGGCCATAAGGGTCTTCTCTCTATCCAGAGGCAGTCCTTTGTCCCTCCAGGGCAAACATCCCTTCCCCTCCCCTCTCTTGCCCCTTTTCTCTTCTCCCTTGTCATCTGTCTTTGTCACTCTGGGGCAAACAGAGGTCCTTTGTGCTGAGAACTAGGTGTGTTCTGTGTTCATTCCAGGGTAAAAGAAATAATCCAAGGGAGATTCAGCAAATGCTTAACAGACAGATGGTTACAAACTGAATGTATGCAAAAGCCACATGTGGGCCCCGTGGACCAACTGTGACCTATTAGAAGGGGACAACGACCTGGTACCAGGTATCTTTTCTTTTGTTCCCTCAGTGGGCTGAGGAGGGAGGAAAGAACAAATGCTCTAAGTGCTCTGAGCTCGAAAGATGAGCTTGGGATGCAGTGTTATATTAGAACCAAAAAAGTAGAAAGCAATCGGATTAGGAAGTAACCACTTCTTAAAATCTAGCCTAAGAATAAAAAGCACATTTAAGAATCCACACAGTGGGCTAGAGAGATGGCCCAGTGGTTAAGAGCACTGCATGCCCTTCTGAAGGGCCTGAGTTCAGTTCCCAGGAACCACATGGTGGCTCACAACCATCTGTAATGAGATCTGGTGCCCTCTTCTGGCCTGCAGGAGTACATGCAGACAGAATACCGAGAATACTGTATACATAAAAAATAAACAATTTTTTTTTTAAAAGAATCTACACAGTCTGCTGGGCGGTAGTGGCTCATGCCCGTGGATCTCTGTGAGTTCGAGGCCAGCCTGTTCTACAAGAGGTAGTTGCAGGACAGGCTCTAAAGCTACAGAGAAACCCTGTCTCGAAAAACCAACCAACCAACCAACCAACCAACCAACCAACCAACCAACAAAAACAACAACAACAAAAAAAAGAATCCACACAGTCACCTACTGCACGTACAAATAAAGAAATGTTATCTAGATATTAACATGCTGTTTAAAAATATTTGTACTGTTCTGTTTTATAACAGTTTCCTCCTATATCCCATCCTGTCCTTAAGCAGGGAGGTAAACAACTCAAAATAGCTTCAGGAAGCCCCTGAAACTGATCACATTCACTAGACCCCTCCCTCCCTGCCAGAGTAAGCAGAGCTAAGACCAGCTACCTAGAAGATGCAGAAACCAGCAGAGCTGCCTGGAAGTGGTTTAGAGCAACCTAGTCACTTGGAAAGGATATTCACCAACCTGTGAGCTGTCAGTGTGTACAGCGTGCGCCAGGTTCCCAGCTTCTGTGAGCTGGGATGGGCCTTAGTGATGCAGCTGTGACTCATTTCTGTTCCTGTATGTAGCCCCTAACACACAGTTCTGTAAGTAACCTCAATGAAACTCACTGGTTCACTAAGCTGCATTTTGGTGGTGTCTGTACTTTAGTCTGCTCTGAGTTCCCTATCTGGGGTGGGTAGATGTGTGTACTGTGTCGCCCCAGGGAAAGTTTTGTCATACAACAATTCTTTCAGCAGATTTAAGTTCCTTTCCTAGAACCCACACCAGGCTTCTCACATTCTCACAACTGTCTATAACTCCAGCTCCAGGGGAGTTGATATCATTTCTGCCTCTGAAGGCATCACATTCACATGCACACCCAACACGTGGCTTTTTTTTTTTTTTTTTTTTTGGTGTTTGTTTTTGTTTTTTTGAGACAGGGTTTCTCTCTGTAGCTTTTGAGTCTGTCCTGGTACTTGCTCTGTAGACCAGTCTGGCCTCGAACTCATAGAACAGTGGCCTCTGCTTCCCAAGTGCTAGGATTAAAGGTGTGCGCCATCACCACCCGGCCACACACATATATATGTAATTAATAAACAGGTAATTAATAATAAAATCTTTAAATTATAAAAACCGGGTATTATTTCTATTAGTAAATGGGAAAACAGAATTCAAATGTGCATACAATAACTGTAGAAAAAAATGTATAATCATCAGTTAACCCAGAGATAATTCTCACCCATATGTACTGAATGCTGTTTATACATATCAGCACATATGGGCACACGTGTACATGTGGAGCATACTCACACACGTACATAAGCTACAGGTACTAGTATGTGATAGCTTTACATAAACACTACTACACAGTTAACAATAGGAAGTTGTTGGTGTTTAGACTGAAAGCATTTTAGAAAACAGCTAGCTGCATCAGGCTTTGGGCTTGAGAATTTACTATCCTGTTCAAAATCATATTTTAATAGGAGACTGTTTGTTTTTTAAACATCAGCCCTATAATCTCACTCCTGGTCTAGGCTCATGCATCAGTGAACTCATCACATGTGCGTCTGTCTGAAGCACTTGGAAGTGGTGAGGACAGAGCTGTTTCCCACTTACTAGGTTATGGTGCTCTGGGACATTGCAGTGCTGCATACCCACAGGGACAAGGGGAACAGCAAAGTTGGTGGGAGGAGGTCCACATAAGATGGGGGCTCCAGCAGGAGGTGGGCCATAAACCACAGTGCCAGGGGTCAGAGGTTGGCTGTTGCTGGGCAAAAGAGGTGATGGTGCATACAAGGCCATTCCTTGGGGTACTGGAGAGCCATCAGGAAGCACAGTATACATTATGTACCCAGGAGGAGGCACAAATGAGGGTTCCTCCTGGTCATCCAGTCCACTCTCTTCCTGGCTATCTCCTCCACTGTCTGCATCTTCTGTGAAATAAACAGGAGAGTATACTAGGTAAGTAGATTTAGGAAGAAACAAGAGCATTTTAATCAAAACATAGGAGATGTAAAACAAAATTGTAAGAATGGTCAAATGTAGTTGTGAGAAACAGATCAATACACAAAGTATTTTCAGCAGCTAACACTTCATGTTTCTTCACTCACTGATGTATTCAGCAATCATTTGAATATGTGTTTTATACTACATAAAATATCAACAGAGATGTTATGAGACAGAACTCAAATTGATTCTGCCATGACATGTAACACTCTAATATGACGGCTTACTTCCTACTCATCTCCCCTAAAGGCAGGAGCTCTGTCTGCTGACCTGACATTAAAATAAAGCAAACACACAGCAGGCACTCACCCAAGGAAGAGTTCCTGTTTGTTTGCTTTTGTGTTGCTAGGGATTGAACTAACAATGAGCTACATCTCCATCCCAACAAATATTTTCTTAATGAACAAATCACCAAAATATAGTATTACTATGTCATAGATCAACAGTCTCAGAGCCGCAGAATGGTTTGACTGTGCCCACAGAGCTATGAAATGTAAGAGCTTAGACTACCCAAGTCTCATTCTTTGCACAAAGCTTTGAAAGACTAACCTCTGACAATCTTAGTAGATAAAAAAAAAATTATCCAATGTTCCATGACCTAGAAGCACAAGCCAAGAAACTATTCAGTTGGAGAGAGTGGAGGAAGACACCATATAAGGAGCATAGTCTTCCTAAACTATGAACTGGTCTGGGGAAGGAAAGAGGAAGACAAACATTACAGAAAAATGGAGGTTTAGGGGTGAGGATGTAGCTCAATGGCAAAGTGCTTACCTAGCATGTGCTAGGGCCTGTGCTCTACCTACAGCACTGAAAACAGACAAAGGCAAAGAGGCTTGAACATGGCATGCTACAAGTATCTTTAGATTAGCGGTTCTCAATCTTCCTAATGCTGCATCTTTTAATACAGTTTCTAATTTTATAGTGACACCCCCAACCATAAAATTATTTTCATTGCTACTTCATAACTGTGATTTTGCTACTGTTATGAATCATTATGTAATTATCTGATATGCAGGATAAGCAGCCCCTGTGAAAGAGTTGTTCAACTCCAAAGGGTCACACCCCATAGGTTGAGAATATTGCTTTAGACAGATAATGAAGAGATACTAACTAGCCCACTTAGGCACGTGGCTCTAGCTGGCCTTGCTCTTGTCCCATTCCCTCTGCCTTCCTAAAGCTAGTCACCAAGGTCTAGTTCCCTTATTTGGCCACTTCCTTCTCATGAGGCTGACCACCAAGGTCCAGCTATTGAGGTATTGAAGTCCAGCAATCAGAAGCCCCCTTTGGCTCACCTAATTAACATGCCCAATTAAAATTAAACACCTTATCCTAACATGGGGCTTTCCCCCTTTACCTTTACAAACCAACATTTGCCCATGTGTCCCATCAGTCTCCTCTCTCCAGAGGTAGTGCTTGGTCCCACTTACCCCTTACCCTTCTCCCTCTCCTCTTATCTCCTTTACCATCACACCCAGCCCATTCTGACACAGACTACCCCCTTCTTCTCTTAAAATGACCCCTGCAAGGTCATCTGCTGCTGTTTCTCTGCCAGAGTCAGAAAGCAGCACTTTAACTTTTCTTCCCTGCTTAATAAAGGATCTCTGTGTGTTTTGTGCCTAATCTAGTGTTGGGAGGGAGCCCCCGCTGTGCAGTTCTTCTCAGATAACCCATGAAAAGATAGGTTGTCGGCCAGCACAGGATCACACAGGATCTCAGATAACCTATGAAAAGATAGGTTGTCGGCCAACACAGGATCACACAGGATCTCAGATAACCTATGAAAAGATAGGTTGTCGGCCAACACAGGATCACACAGGATCTCAGATAACCTATGAAAAGATAGGTTGTCGGCCAACACAGGATCACACAGGATCTCAGATAACCTATGAAAAGATAGGTTGTTGGCCAACACAGGATCACACAGGATCTCAGAGTAAGCTAAGGACTTTGGAATACACCTGTGGATTTCAAGGAAACAAAGGTCGTTAAATGGGTATGAGAAATGCAACTTCCCTTATGTGATGTGACCTACCTCTATTTGAAAATGATTTACGCAACCTACTTCTGATGGGTGAATAGACCCAGTATCCTGAAGTAGGCAGAGGTCCACGGTTGTCCTTCTCTTCTTGCTGTCCAGGCTGTGGTTTTCTAAGAGGAGTAGAGGCTGTATACTTTAGACCCAAACCGGAGTCCTTTGTGGCTTGAGAACTATGGCTGGAAACCTAAAATCAGTGACAAGAGAGCGCAGCCTATCACCAACAGAAAGGCTGACCTTTAGATACGCCAGAGTACACAGCTTAGGTGAGATACACAAACACTAAGAAAGGATCTGTGTCCTTATTATGGTTCTCATTTTTCACAAACAGAAATAAGAAACGATTGCAGTTATACACAGTCATAAACTATAGTCCATACATATGGCTCATCTTATTAGCATTTCTTTAACATGGCAGTGTTGGGAAAGCTGGGCAGGGAGGAGTATGTATGCAATGGCTGAAGTCACATCAGACTGCTCTGGTGAAAAGCATAGGGCTCTTTTCAGGAAGCTATGTAAGAGCGTCCATTCCCCACCTTGCTGCCTGGACCATTCTCTGGGAATAAAGGTCCTCACAGCACTGCAGTGGTAGAGGCATGCTATCTGGCTGTTTGACTGAGTTTACTTTATGGCACAATTTTTCATGAGAGAAAAATAAAAATAAATTCTTTGTAAGTTATCAGACCCTTGAGTGTCCTGTCCGCCTCCTACCTGCACTCATGACTGCTAGTGGCTTTTCTTCCTTTGCCTTGTCCTTAGTAGCCCAGTAGCTAAGGTAAATGAAACCACACACTCCAAAAGAATCTGGAGGTTAGTGTCTTGCTGTCCTGGAGTGTGCTGCTTCTGTCCTTCCTGTTTCCCATCACACTCAGCTCCACAGCTGACTCAAAGGGTGTCATTCAGTCCCACTTAGGTCCATTACTAACTTCCAAGCTCAGGCAGCAAGCTCATCTTTTCATATTACCTCTTCCTTCGCAGCTCCATTAATCTAGCTCTGGCCTTCAAACGGCCCACAGAAAGCTCGCCTGGCTCCAACTCTAGCCCCCATGCTCAGCGAGAACAGCCTTCTGAACTCTGACTCTAGTAAGAACAATCTCTTTTTCCCCTAACATATAATGGTCTTTTAAAGAAGGATGACCCTGTGATTTGAATGAGAATGTCTCCATAGGCTCAGGTATTTAAACACCTGGTCTCTTGCTGGTGGTGCTTTGGAACCACAAGCCCAAATCAACTGTTTCTTCTTTAGGTTGTTCTGGGCATGCTCGTTCATCACAGCAGAAGAAGAGCCCCAGTCACATTTCTAGCTCTTGGTTCAGCATTTTCAGTGAACTAACGTTACAGGTTCCTCGCTATGGCTATACCGCCTTTCCTCTTCACACAAGCCGTTTCCTCCCTCCTAACCCTTCTCTGGACAGTTGCTCACTGTCACCGCACAGCTTCAGCTAGTCAGCCTTCCTTCCTCATAGAAGAATCTTCTAAACCAACCTCTCCAGCTAGAGCACACTGGCCACGTCTGACGTCACAACTACGTTACTGTCTAAGTGCAGGGATGCATCCTTCATCACAGCACCCCAATACAGCCTAGCATGTGGCCTACAGTTTGATTAACACTCAAAAGATTTTTTTTAAAAAAGGAAATCAAACCTAGGTACCCATTATTCTGTTCACACCTCTGCACATTTCTATAACCGTTTTCATTCAGCTCGTTGGGCCTAAGTCACCTTATACTTTATCTACTTCACGACACTGGCCATGAAAGGCAAGTACTACTGTCTGTAGGACAGCTCTATTTTTAAATCACAAATGACACAAACACTGAAGAATGTAAATGTATGTCTCAGCAGAGAAGTATTTCCAGCACCTGCTAACAAATTTGGGGAAGGAGAAAATGTCACTTTCAAGAAAATTCAGTATATACTTCTAGCAACAGAGAATTCCTACTTTTGATGATGGCGGTGGTGGTATAAAATACCAATAGCCTTGTCTTTTGAAAGGATCTGTCAGGTTGCTGATGTACTCATTCTGAGCAGAAACTTCATGCCGGAGTTCAGCAATTTCCTCTAAAACATTTTCAATGCCTCCTCTGTTATCTGTAAAGAAAAGCCACTCTATGAAGCTGCCATGCATTCAAGGACTTCCTTTCTGTGCCCACACAGAAGAGAGACTCTGGGGAGCAACAGCTTCTACCACCATGTCCCAAAGCTGACTTTCAGCCTGCTCTTGGGTAATTTGCTGTTGCTGAACACTAAGACAACATCCTTCTGTCCATTGATTATAAAGTATAAATTCACAGAAAGCAAACATACTTGTAAGACATTACTCTTTAAATTAGTCTATACCTTGTCTTTCTATAATCAAATCCCCTCATACCACACTGTGAAATGCTTTTTAAGTTCTTAACTTGTCAGGTAAGCCATGAATCTCTAGGTCACGTATGGAACTGACTCCTTCAGCCAAGTGCTTTTTTCTAAAGGCAGCAGAAGGCAGTTCAGTTTGTAACACAGAACCAGACAAATCAAAGCCAACAGTACTTTACCGGTCCCAGTGAGGTGTAGTACATCCCGAAGCCTTGTGATCTCAGCCCTTTGCTTCGCCATGGCCTCATTCAGCATCTCCATCTCTAGCAGCCGTGAGTCTGCTCCTTTCGAACCTACGCCTGCATTCTCCGTCTCAATGTGAAACTATTGAAAAGGTGTACGCACAAAGTCACAAGAACGTCTACCCTATAACCAAGAAGCCACTGTCCCTTTCATTTCCATGGCACAGCAAGGCCAAAGTGCTGTCTACTGACCGCACTTCAGTGCGCTTTGAGCAATCTCCTGCAGCACTTAGTTTAGGCACCTAGAAGCTCACAAGAAGGGTAGCTCCAGGTACCAACACTGACCTGCCCCTCTCTCTCCCTGAGAAGATGCTGCAGGAGCTCGATCTCCGCTTCAGCCAGAGTCAGGTCTCTGGCTGCTTGCCTGGCCTTTCTGCTGAAGTTCTCTGCTTCCTGCAGCTCCTATTGGGACAGAGCATGAGAAGGGCATTGCCATCATGATGGTCATCTCAGTCAGTCTTCCTCTCAGTGTGACCTCTCTGCTCCCATCCTACTACCAGCCTGGCTTAGTCACGCACACATGGTGCCAAGCCTGACCTGTCTGGCTTCTTTCTCATGGTCTCAATCTCACTGAAGTCTGTGTCACAGTCTGTACCTTAACCATCACTCCAGCCACCATACTAACAGCCTGGAAGGTAATGGGTTTTCATATACATAAACAGGATAAACATTTTGAGGGTCACAATGAGCATGGTGGCACATAACTTTAATCCCAGTGCTGGAGAAGGCAGAGGCTGCTGGTGAATCCCTGTAAGTTCCAGGACAGCCTGGTCTACTACATAGCCAGTTCCAGGAAAGCCAGGGCTGCATAGAGAAATCCTATCTCAAAAAACAAAACAAAACAAAACAAAACAAAACAAAACACCCCACCAAATACCCTAAAACAAAAACCATAAAAAAAGAAATACTTGAGGCTCAGAGGAACTATACTGAAACTTCCAAAACTTCAATCCAAGCACATATTGACAGAGACTTCTTTAAAGAGTCTGCTAGCCTTTAATATTCATTTTGTGGTTTCTTTAAGAACTTGGTACAATCTGGGGCCCGGAGCAACCCCAATGATGGGGTACAATCACTGGGTCTTAAGAAATGCAGAGAGTACCACAGTAGTTTGAAGATGACCAAAGTCTGTACCAAAGAGCCATAATGTATGTGGCTGCGTTTTTGAGATAGAGCTGACAAAGGCGTTCAGACTGTATGGACTAACCTCGGCTCGCTCCTGATTAATTCTCATGACAGTTCCATGCAGGGACTTGAGCTGGTCTTTAGCGATGGTGAGCTCGGCTGCAGCTAGTTTATCAGAAGCAGCCACAGCTTTCTTTAGACTCTTCAGTTCTTTATCTAAACCAATAAACTGCTCCTGAGATTTGGCATCTTCATGCTTCTTCTAAAATAAAAGAATCATAACCAATATAAATAAATGAAGACATGAGCTCCAAGAGAGCCAGGATCTGTTCCGTGCTCCATGCCCATGTCTAGAATAATACCTAATACTAGGTGCTTCATAAATATTTGAAGAGAGACAAAAACATTTGTGTGTGTGCGCATGTGCACACACACATGTGCAGATGTTATTCCCCACTGAGTCATTTGAGACAGAATCCTTCTTGGAGCTTGTGTTTTCTCAGCTAGCCTAGACCCAGCAAGTCCTAGCCATCGTCTTGTTCCAGCTTCCCTCACAGTTCAGACTGCAGGTGTATGGAGGATGCCAGTTTACTGTGAGCATTGCTGCTCTCTGGTCCTCATGATTGCCAGCACTGCTCCCAACAGTCGAGGCATCTCTCCAGCTCCCCATGCACATAAAACTTTTTAAATAACTCTTTTCTTAGTTAAGAATCATGGACTGGAAAGACGGCTTAGAGGTTAAGAGTACTGGACACTCTTCCAGAGGACCCAGGTTGGATTTTTCCAGAACCCACATAGTAGCTCACAGTAACTCAAGTTCCTGGGAATCCAACACCGTCTTCTGGCCTCAGCAGAAGATGTGTGATGTACAGAGATACACATAGACAAAACAGCCATACACATAAAATTGAATAAGTAATATTTAAAAAACAACCTTCCAAACCCAGCCTTACTTCTTGGCACCATAACAGATGGACAAGGTTTTCAAAACTCAGGCCTGGCTATACGATCATGAAGACCTTGACATTTTTGAGGGTACTGAAGTGGACAAATCATGCAGCGTCTCAGGCTTAAGAGGCCTGGTCTTTAAAGTGAGGTGGGGAGAGGAGGTGGGGCTGACTACAGCCATTTCCCCATTTCAGAGAGGGTGGTGACTGGACGGTTCCTATGGGGTAATTTGTTCACTGGGATGGAGACAAGATGGCAGGTGTGGAGGAGGAGGGATGCCCAAATAACACACGACAGTGAGGCTGAGGGACACTACCGTGCTGGAGAGCGACAGTCCGCCCCCCAGGATCACGACATGTGACAGTCCACCCCCCAGGACCATGACATGTGACAGTGAGGCTGAGGGACACTACCGTGCTAGAGAGCGACAATCCACCCCCCAGGATCATGACACGTGACAATCCACCCCCCAGGACCATGACACGTGACAATCCACCCCCCAGGACCATGACACGTGACAGTCCAACCCCCAGGACCATGACACGTGACAGTCCACCTCCCCAGGACCATGCGGACCCCAAGAAAGCAGCGATCTTAGTTTTGTCAGGGAAGTGAGACAGAAGAAAAAGAAAAGGGACTTGAAGCTACTTCTGGGTGAAAAAAAGACTTAGTAGCTGGCCAAGGACTTTAGGCTGGACAAGAAAAGCAGAGACTGAAAAGCTGGAGGTGCTCTTCTTCCTCGTCCTCTCTCTCACCTGCCTCTCTGCCCCCCACCTTCCCTCCCCCTCAACAAAACTTTTCTCCCAATGTGAAGAAAAAAAAAAGGAGGCTGGTGAACTAGAAGCTCGAGGGACCGGAAAAGTGTCAGCATGAGGAAGTTAGGGAGACAAGAGGTTGTGACTAGAGCAAGATGCTTCAGTGTCTGGTTTCAGAAGTGCTGAGTGAAATATCTGAGTGGACTAAGGAGATTACACCGGGATGGGTGAAGGCAGATAGAGAAAAGGGCATCAGAAGGGCCAGATGATGTGGGATTCCCCTCTGTATGCTATGAATATGTTTTATTACCACTGGTTAGCAAAGAAGTTGTTTCAGCCAATGGTTTAGTAGAGTAAAGCCAGGCAGGAAATCTGAACAGAGACATAAAGAGAAAGTAGGTGGAGTCAAAGAGATGTCAAGTAGCTGCCGAAGGAAAAAGACGCCAGCCTCCAGCCAGAACCTTACCATTAGGTCACAACCTTGTGGTGATTCTCAGATTAATAGAAATGAGTTAATGTAAGATGTAAAAGTTAGCCAAAAATGTGCATAAGCTATTGGCCAAATGGTGCTGTAATTAATATAGTTTCTGTGTGATTATCTATGTCTGGGTGACCGGAAACGAATGAGCAGCCTCTGCCTGCATATCAGAAAATGAGAGGGAGAGTTTAACTCCATGGATGGACCTGGGTGGACCAAGTGTTCCAAGGTGGCGACCTAACCTGTTACTGTTTGTTAACTGTCACCTCCATGACCCTAAGGCTACTTCTCTTGTTTCCCTTTATCAGGAGAGTTTCAGGTCCATGGCTGTGTAACAAGACCCAGCTGTGAGGTCAGCAATGAGAGCTGGATGTGGATTACTACTGACTCTGTCACCAGAGGCAGGATGTGGGAAGCAGGTCCCTTACTTTTCTAGGCTCCCTACCTTTTTCTCTAACTCCTGGAGTTGGGTCAGAATTCTTTCTTTCTCTTCATCTGCTTCCTGGAGCTGGAGGTCTGTAAGGCCTTGGATTTCTTCCATACTTTTTAGGTTTTCTTGCAAATAGTGAATTTCATTTTCTAATTGCTGGATTCTTGCATTATGTTGCCTTTTATCAAACTTAATCTGTGAAGGAATAAAATTTTTATCAAACTTAAGATCTCTCTCTCTCCCACTCTCTTTGAGACAGCCTCTTGGTATATAGCCCAAAGCTATGTTTGAATTTGTGATACTCCTACTTGATACTCCTGAGTGATGGGACTTGTGTGTGTATACATACATACATTATATACATATATATATATATACACACAAGTGTATATATACACACATATGTAACCACATTAGTAAACGTGTATGTAAACATACATACATATAAACACATAAAATGTACGTTTTAAGCAAAATAAGAATGTTATGGAGCTATGGTTTCCTTAACAGGAAACATAAATATAACAAGGTTTTGTGCTAAATAGCGACCAGAGATGTTTTTATCTTGCTCTCTGGGATTGGAATGCTTACCTCAATGCTTGAACATACAGTAGGTTAAGATTCTGACACCACACTATACTTTGGTTATGTGGTATTTAATCTATCCATTATAAACTATCTCTCAGCTGCTTTCAAAACAAGGAAAAACCACTGTTACAAACAGGCCTGACTTTGACATCAATAACCACATTCAGGATTGGATTTTAGTCACAGACTAGTTATGAGTGAAAATAACAAGGGTATGCTCGATTTACATGTTGAAAGCAGCAGCATTTGCTAAAGGCTGCCTTCTGTCTCTAGTCTTCCTTACTCTGGCTTCAAGTGCTCTTTCACAGGCCTGCCTGAACTCCTCTTGTCCATTTGCCAGTTTCTCTTGCTGGAGAACCATTTCTTCATGGAGTTTCCTCTCTCTAACTTGTGCTTCCTCTTTTTCCCACTGAGATCGTGCAAGGATTTCACTGAGTTGTTTCTGTAGATCAGCAAGACTTTTCCCCAAGACATCTGAAGGACTATAGGTTCTAAGGGGGAAAAACAAAAAGGTATAATGTGACATTTAATTCGATGCAAACATGTTCAATGCAGTGTTAAAAACTGAGAGTAGAAAGTACTGTGTGAAGGGACTGGTGTCAATTACAGCATTTTGCTCAGTATCTCATAAGAGCAAATCATTGTACCAAATCACTGGCCACTCTGAAGACACAGGCTAAGATTATGTGTCCATAAATTTGATTATTATCCTGTTTTGTACTTATTTGCTACAAAAATACATATTGTTCTTTCGGATCACATACAACCAACTTCAAGAAGACCCTTAAATACTTTATGCTGTCATCAGAATTAAGCAATCTTGCATCAGTCTTTCAGAAACATCAATCAGTACTACAGAGATTGAGGATGGAGAGCTCATGGTTGGTCTCAGGCACAGCTCTCAAGTGGAGAGGGTCACTCTAACTTGGGGTCCTACTTCTGCTTACCTCATTTTCCCACCTCCTAGTTTCAACTTTCTGCTTAGCTCATCTACACGAGCTGCTACTTCTTCTGGACGAATCAGACCGTCAACCACGTGGTTGAGGTGGTTCTGGAAATCTTTCAGCTGCTGCTTTAACAGGCTGTTGTCATCCTGTGCATAGGGTGAAATGGAGAGGATGTGTTATCTGCCAGCAGACATTCCTTACTAACAGATACATGACCACAGAAGGAAACTCATATGGTGCCTCTTTCAAACAGAATTGCTAAAATGTCCCCACGGTATAAAGTAAAGTATTGCTACATCTGAAGATGGACGCCTGTGGTACTCGAGGGATCCTCTACTACACATCCAGCGCAGTGCTGCTAACTACGATGGAGGGTCTAAAATGGTGAATACATTTTTAAGTGCCCATGGCATCTAGAGGTCGGATCTGTAGACTGTCCCTCCCAATACCCTGAGGCAGCTTTCTCTGGGCCACAGTGTCTTCTACCACTTTACAGTTTTTTAAATGTTGTCTCCTGATACCATGTGGAGGCAAGGAGGTCCAGCTCCTGGACTAGCCAGGCCACCAGGGTAACAATACCTCTGTAGTGCATCCAGATGCCATGTTCTTTATATTTTGCTTGTGTTTCCAATAAATCACAACAGATAGGCAACATTTTATCATACAATAGGCTTTAAGATAACTTTGCCTAGCCAGGTGGTGGTGGTGGTGGTGGTGGTGTTGCACACCTTTAATCTGTTCAAGGTCAGCCTGGTCTATAGAGTGAGTTCCAGACCAGGCTTCAAATCTACACAAGAGAAACCTTGTCTTAAAAAAAAAAAAAAAAAGATAACTTTTCCTTACTAGACTAAATGCACATACTATAAGCACACGTAAGGATAGTTAGACCACAGTATGATATTCAGGTTAGGCACAGAAAATGTATTTGTTAAGGGAGCCACCTTAGTGTTGGCAAGAGACTTGAACCCAGAGTGGCTCCCAGGAGCCCAAGGCGATGTCCCCAGTTAGTCCCTTGGGAAGCTGAGGATAGGGAACCTGAAATGACCCTATCCTATAGCAACACTGACGAATATCTTTCATATCACCATAGAACCTTCATCTGGTGATGGATGGAGATAGAGACAGAGACCCACACTGGAGCATTGGACTGAGCTCCCAAGGTCCCAATGAGGAGCAGATGGAGGGAGAACACGAGCAAGGATGTCAGGACCACGGGGGGTGCTCTGTGCACCCACCCACTGAGACAGTGGGGCTGATCTATTGGGAGCTCACCAAGGCCAGCTGGACTGTGACTGAAAAAGCATGGGATAAAACCGGACTCTCTGATCATGGCGAACAATGAGGACTGATGAGAAGCCAAGGTCAATGGCAAGGGGTTTTGATCCTACTTCATGTTCTGGCTTGGTGGGAGCCTAGCCAGTTTGGATATTCACCTTCCTAGACATGGACGGAGGGGGGAGGACATTGGACTTTCCACAGGGCAGGGAACCCTGACTGCTCTTTGGATTGGAGAGGGAGGGGGAGAGGAGTGGGGGGAGGGGGAGAGGAGTGGGGGGAGGGGGAGAAGAGTGGTCGGAGGGGGAGGGAAATGGGAGGCTGGGAGGAGGCGGAAACTTTTTTTTTCCTATTCTCAATAAAAAAAAATAAAAAAAAAAATAAAAAAAGAAAATGTATTTGAAACAAGTTATTTTCAACTTGTAGGTTTGTTAGGACATAACCCCATCATAAATCAAGGACATCTCTAGAGCCTACTCCTGGCCTTACGTGATCTGACTAGGTGATATGACTACAGTCAGCCTACTGATTAGCCAGGAAAAAAAATAGGCTCTTATTATCTTCATAATTTGAAGCAAGATATATAGTAGATATAAAGTCTGTACAAGAGTTGGACCTGAAACAATGTATCAATTCAGGACTGGGGTTTAGGTTGTGCTAAATATGATACACAGAGAATTAGGAAAAGACATGAGAGCCATTGAGCCCCTAAAAGATTGATCAATGACTTTGATTCTTAGCAGCTTTGTGTTAACAGTTTCCTTCAAGATTGAAACACTCCATCCTTCAGGGAAGCTCCTTAATCAGGGACATAAAACAACTCAAAATAGTATAAGGAAGTCCCCAGAGCTAAGAAGCAGGATCTCAGACAAGCCAAGCTGCAAAGACAACTGAGACCAGACCAGCTGCCTGGAAGAAGCAGGAACCAGCTGAGCTGCCTGGAAGAGGTGCCAACCATAGTCATTTGGAAGGACACGCTCCATCCTACTGAGGGCCTGCAGACTGTGCAGGATGCTCCAGGTTCCCAGCTTATGTGAGCTGTCATGCTGGAGTGGCATTGGCGATGCAGCTGTCTGTGGGTCACTTCTGCTCCTGTATAACCTCTCACCCATATTCCTGTGTAACACCAATAAACACTCATTGGTTCACCAAGCTGGACTTCGGTGGTATCTGTCCTTTGGTCTGTCTACTGATCCTATCAAACTGACTTTTAAGAAAGATAAAGGTAGAGAGTAAAAGGTGTACTCCTCATCAGAAGGCCAAGCAAGCTCTAGTCCTAACCAAGGCAGACCACGGCAAGGCCAGGCTAGAAAGTGGACTTTAGTTTACACCTTACAGAAAGGCCCACGAAGACTTGACTTTAGTGCTTTCTGGGAAGAGTTGCATAGAGAAGTATTTCTAGGTGAAAATATACTGGGTTTTCTCTTTTGAGACAGGGTTTCACTATGTAGCCCTAATGTCCTGAAACTCACTACAGACCAGACTGGCCCTGAACTCACAGAGATTCACCTGTTCCTGCATCCAGAGTGCTGGGATTAAAGGCAGGAGCCACTATTCCCAACTTGAATTTTTCTTTAAAATACTTCAAAGAAAAAAAGTATTCCGAATGAAGCAATGTTAGTAATTGTATAAACCAAGCAATGGATCAAAGGTCATGGGGTTATTGTTTTTGTGATCACTTTAAATTTTCATAATAAAAATAAAATTTAATAGTCTACTAAAGACTCCAAACACACACACACACACACACACACACACACACACACACACACACACACACTTCACACAAGAATGAAAAACTGATTATACTTTTAATTGCATCTCTATTGAGAAGACTGTGAGAACTGTATAATTAGGAGACCTTACTGCAGCTCACTATGGGAGACATTTCAATGGGAGAGGGTGCACTGATCTAGCAGTCTTAAGTTTGGTCTGCTGACAGTTCCTAGGAAGCACACAGGAGTTGTTTTCACAGAGAAGAGGTAGAGTTTATAGAATCCTGTTTAATCTGGACACGGGCACCATTTCTTTACACTACCCAGTTAATTAAAAACAAAGAAGCAGAGGCTATGGTGCAGCTCCATCCAGAGTTCACCTCACCTAATACTTCAAGTTGCTTAGCACATATTAGAGCAGGCTGTTAAATGCCTAAGTGAGGTTGTCACCAGCGTTGGATGTTCCATGGCACAGATCTCTTACCTGCAGCTTCTTAAGCTGTGTGTGGAGCTCACTGTTCTCCTGTTGCTTCTCTTCTGAGGACTGGACTTTGCCCAGGGCATCCCTGAGGGACTCTCTTTCCTTCTCCAGTTCTGTTTGAAGCACCGATTGCTCTAGCTGTTGTTGGAGGTAGCAATGACATTAAAGTGCAAAACAGTCATAGTTTATGATCCCAAGCAGCACAGGTACACACACACCACTGCTATCATTCTACATTTATGCACTGAAATTTAAAAACCTGAGATCACTTTCCACATGCTCCTCTGACTACTTAATGAGGCATTCACCTAAGAATTAGCTCAGCCTTGATATCCCATCAGAATCTTCAGGGCAGTCTCCAATACCAATCTTTATAAGTAAACTGTGGTCCTCAAATACCTGTATCAAAAATAATTTCATGTACCTATTAAAAATGAGGGGCTGGAGAGATAGCTCAGTTTTTAAGAACACTGGGTGCTCTTCCAGAGGTCCTAGGTTCAATTCCCAGCACCCATAGGGTAGTTCATAACCATGTGTAACCCCAGGTCTGGGGGATTAGACACCTTCTGGCCATCACAGGTACTAGGAATGCACAGGGAGACATGCAGGCAACACTTAAACACAAGGATTTTGAAAATACAGATGAAACCTGGCTTGTGATCCTAATGCTTGGGAGGCAGAGGCAGGAGGAGTGAGAGGTTGACCTGGGCTACAAAATGAGACCTTGTCTGAAAAGTAAGAGGAGAGAGAAATGGGGAGAGGATGGGGGTGGGGATGGGAGGAGTGGGAGGGACAGAAAGAGAAACAGAGGGAGGGAGGGAGGGAGGGAAGAAAGCAGGAAAGAAGGAAAAAGGAAGTGGGGAGGAAGAAAGAAGGAAGATGGAAAGAAAAAAGGAAGGAAGGATGAAACAAAATAGCAGATGCCCAGACCCCATCTCAGATTTACAGGTCTGAGTATCTATGGAATCTGCATCTAATAAGCTCCACAAGTGGTTTCATATAAGTGCAGTATAACAACCAGGAAACGGGAGCCTCCATACTCTATATAGTCTATGTGGTCTGAAGCTCTATGTGGTGGTTAAGGATAGGGTACTGCTTTCAATACCAAGCTCTTAAAGTTCTTCTAACATTTTTGTTAAGACTTAGCCAAAAATAAAAGTAGAAGTACTAAAGACAGCATCATTCAAACTAGTTAGGGCAGAATTGGAAAAAAAAAAAAAAAAAAGGTTTACTCTGAAGAAAGAGATGGCATTTAGAAATTTTATTTACTATTATTTTAAAAAAAAAATCTACTTGCACTTTACTTCCCCCAACCTGCTGTTTCCTGTTACTCTGACCCTGCAAAGGGTTTTGTAAAACTTAAATGCTCTCAAATATGCAATTCTGACACTTGGCAAGACTCTGACCTCTGGTAAATAAAGAACAGACCATGACCACTCCCGTACAAGTCCTTCCTACACGGCAGCAGGTGCCTTTCTGCCTTGTTATTTTATGTGTCTAAGTGTTTGTTAGCATGGATGTCTGTACACTATACGTGTACCTGGTACTTGCAGAGGTCAAAAGAGGGCATCTAATTCCCTGAAACTAGAGTTACAAATGGTTGTGTGATGTGGGAGTGTCATATATCAATCTGTTGATTTCATTGGTTAAGCAATAAAGAAACTGCTTGGTCTTGATAGGTTAAAACATAGGTGGGAGGAGTAAACAGAACAGAATGCTGGGAGGAAGAGGAAGTGAGGTAAGACTCCTCAGACAGACTCCTTAGCTCCTCTCAGAGACACACGCGATGAAGCTCTGACCCAGGATGGACGTAGGCTAGAATCCTCCCGGTAAGCGCACCTTGGGGTGCTTACACAGATGATTAGAAATGGGCTAAATTAATATGTGAGAATTAGCCAGTAAGGGCTAGAGCTAGTGGGCCAAGCAGTTTTTAAATGAATACAATTTGTGTGTTGTTATTTTGGGGCATAAGCTAGCCAGGCGGCTGGGGTGCTGGGGACGCAGCCCCGCCACCGCTCCTATTACAACAGTTGTGAGCCTGAGTGGGTGCTGAGAATCCAACCTGGGTCCTCTGCTAGTGTTCTTAACCGCTTAGCTATCTATACAGCTCTCCAAACTGTAGTTTTGTTCTGTTCTGTTTTTTTTTTTTTTTTATTTATTTATTTATTTATTTATTTATTTATTTATTTATTTATTTATTTATTTATTTATTTATTTATTTTTGAGTTAGAGTTTCTCTGTATAGTCCTGGATGCCCTGGCACTAGCTCTGTAGACCAGACTAGCCTCAAACTCAGAGATCCCCCTGCCTCTGCCACCCTTGCCTGACCCAAACTGTATTTTCACTCTCATAAAGAATATGCTACATCTGGCCTTCCTCTTCCTTTTGACTTTAAGTTTTACCTTCTTTCCTCACTCTTCCTTTGCCCTTAGGTCTGAAGATCCTCACAGTATTTCGCCTCTTCCTTATTCTTCGGCAAGGGTGTTCACCCTTCCTTCCTTCTCTACTCCTTTCACTCCTGACTCCCCCTGTGCCCACAGCCTCTTCACCCTCTTAAGCTACAGCTGAGATATTGCTTCTAAAGGTGGCCATGCCTTTCTCTCTTTCGCCTGTCTCACGTGCTGGACTACTAACTTCTCAAGACAGGTCCTCAGGGGCCAGTACTTACTGGATGGATACTGTTTCCTCTAATTTGAAAGTGTAACAAACTAGTGGATCTTTCAACCATCATCAAAGGAAACAGCAAACTAAAATCGAGCATTAACTTAAGAATCTCTTAGAGCTATTGTGAGAAAGGAAAACTAGGATTTATCAAATATTAACTACCAAGGGCTTTAATGCCCATTATATCCTTTATCTTATCATCTGCTATCTAACAGAGGAACAGGCTATGGGGCTCAGAGCCCCGAAATGATTTGCCCACACTTACATAGGGGTAATGTTTGAATTCAGAATGCTAGACTCCCAAAAATATGCTCTTTGACATGTTCCATCAATTCATATCCTTATTATTAAAAATGCTTAATATTAAGACTACGCCAGGTGTGGTGGCTCATGCCTGAAACTGCAGCACTCGAAAGCTGAAGCAGGGTGCTTTCCAGCCTGGGCTAGACTACACAGTGAGATGCTATCTCAAAAGCACAACAGATAGTACAGACTGCTTAGTTTATACTTGGCATATGCTCCACTTACCTGAGCGAGCCTTGTGAGTTTTTCCAACTCCTCCTTGAGCTGGCTGGCTTCAGCTTCTTTTAGTCTCAGCTGAGTCTCTAGCTCAGTTTCATAGGCGCTGAGCTCTCCTTGGGCTTGCTGCAGGGATGCATTCACCTCACGCTGCTCCTGGAGGGCACTTTCTAGCTCTGCAAGCTCCTGCAAAGTTCAGCATGTTTAAATGCAGCATCCTGAGTACCTTGAGAGCATCTACAAGTCATCATAACTAACCTGCACACCTAATACTGGGCAATCGCTACTGCCTGGCACAGAAAGTTTTATGAACAGCAGGATGGAGTGTTGTGCTGGCATATTCAAGTTGACATACAGAGCATTCTACTAAATGTAACCTGAAAATTCACCAAGTTGCCAACATGCTGTTTCCAAAGAAACTATTTGTGTGACACTCCAGTCTGCAAGCATATGAGGAAGACAGGAGTGGAAAATACAATCAAACAAACAAACATCTGTTCTTCCCTGGACCCAGTGTTTTTACACCACTGTGTCATCTGTCTCCTGAATGGCAACTCACTATGACCACAGCACCATGGAGCTAGAAAAAGGGGGTGCATTATGGACCTAGATCTCTGACTGCAAAGCCCACACTTTTCTAATTAAACCACAGTGTGTTCATTTAACAGAAGAACAAAGGACTGGCATTCTAAAGATGTCAGTGACTGAACTGAGTGCTAACAACAAGCCAAGTGTCAGCCACTGAGAAAGGAAAACACTCTCAAAACTAAACTCCTATACTGACACACCTTCATGTGTCAGTATACAACTTCTGTCTATTTATTTGGTTATGGAAGAATTAGCTCAAACTACTGTGAATAAACAGGAAGAACCTGGAGTAACTTCTATTTAGTTTTGTAAGAACTACTTGGCACTGTTTGGATGAAAGGCAGTTGTATGCACTGTATGTATTCCAAAAAAGATTAACATCCAAAATATAAAGAATTCTTGCAGTTAACTAACAAAAGAAAGATGATCCAATACAAAAAAATGGTCAGAAAATATGAATAGGAATCCATTAGGCTAAGGAAATGTGAACTTCAAAGAACAAATGAAAGGTATGTAAACCACTCCAGTATTCATGGGAAAAAGAAGTTAAAACAGATATTATTTTATATGGAGCATAGAGGAACAAAGTAAAACAGCACAAGGAGTCTACCAGGCAGATGTACAGAATGCCCCTGCCTAGACCATGCACACATGCACACCCGAATGCACGCATGCACGTGCTCATGCACACCACTATAAATTCTGGAGATAGTTAGGAAAATCTGATGGTAGTTTAAATGTCAGATGACCCCAGGGAAGTACCCTCAGTTTTCCTAGATGTAAGAATGGCATTTATTGTAGTGATGTTGGAAACCCACAATACTGATGAAAGTGATGTTTGAAACTTTATGAGCAGAAACAAAAGGTATATATTTATAAAATCAAAACAAAAATATTAATTTAAGGAGGCTCAGAGATATTTAACTACTTTTCTAATATTCCTGCAAATGTGAAAACTTTCATAATACAAAGTTTGGAGGAAGACACCTTTTAAGACTCAGCAGACTGACAAACTATTACATTTCCTGCTAGTGTGGTGACACACATCTATAATTGGACCACTCAGGTGGTAGAAGCAGGAGAGTCACAAGTTCAAGGCCAGCCTGAGCTACATACTAAGGTATTTATTTTTATTTTTTATTTTTGTTATTTTGGGACAGTGTTTCTGTGTACCCCTGGCTGTCCCAGACTTACTCTGTAGACCAGGATAGCCCCAAACTCAGAGATCTGATGGGGAACCTCCTCAAGTCAATGGCCTTTAAGAGGCTGGACCAGGTTAGGGCATGACTTTTGGACCCAGAGAAAGCTGTTGGCCCAGCCAGCTCTCTCTTGTTCCCACGCTCCACATCTTGAGGGTGGACCCCCTGTTCCTGTTCCGTGAGATCTTCCCTTACAATAAAGAATAATCTTATAATTATTATAATAATCTTATAATAAAGAATAATCTTTTGGAGTTATCTTGGGATTATTTGAATTGTGAGTTCCCTCATTGAACATGTTCAGCTTCATCTGACAATCCAACTTAGGACCCAGTTCACACCTGCTCTTCAGGATGCCTAGGCACCCCTGTGGTGCTCCCCATTTGACAGCTCAGCATCACATTCTCTGCCAGGGGCTGGTGACCCACCCACCACCCCTCTCATTTGTCTCTCTTCATCAGTCCCATCTCAAACAAGCCGCTGCCTCTCCAGCAAACCAGTGATCCCCGCACAGTCCGCACAGACCGCAACTCACACTGTCAGAGAGCTTTGGGTTTTCTTTTTATCCTGTCACCAACTTTCAGAATCGCTTTGACCACCTTAATAACTGCTCTTAATTGGTTAAACAAAGCATATTTTTCAGTATCTAACAAGCGCAAAAACAAACCAGGATTGTCCACTGCTGCTTGCATCTCCCGGCCATGCGGCTGCTACTGCAACACCTGCTGGCCGATGAGGATTATTACACCTACTCCAACTGTCTGCAATTGCCTTACAACAGGTAAGAGCTGGAAACTACAAAATTACCGATAACTATCCAAGAGTTAATAATTACTTTGCTTATGCTATGGATGGTATTCTGAAAGGATTATGTGATTTTCCTTATATATTTCTTTATTTGATTCTAGGGTTTAGTTTTGTTTTTCAGGTTATCTCATTAATATAGTTTGATAACAGAGCCAAGAATGAGGCACTTTTAGAAATGACACAGCCTTTATAGACTAATAATGAACAGCTAGTTGGGCAAATCAACACTTTCTAGAGGGATACCATTAATTTAACAGACAAAGTCCAGTCAATGTCGAAGGGTGCTGAGACATTATCTGAAAAAATTCGCCCTGCTGAATTTAATAATTGTAATCTGTTAAAAAGTTATGATAGATTAATGGATAAGACATTTCTCCAGGAAAGTAATATGCACACCATCAAAATTATGTTCAAGAATGAGATGTTATCTTTACTAGACAAGTTTCATACCTTGGAATCCTCAATGAGGGCATTAGGACAGAACAGAACACTGGACAGGAGATTCAGACTTTACAAAAGGCAGTAGTAAAAGATTTGAAAAGATCTTTGAGGAATTTATTGAAACTGATGAGCAGGGACAGAAGGTACAAGGATAGGATTTAGCCTCATCACTACATGCCAGACTCTGGGGTGACTTACCCAGAGTTTTAACTGCATATCCAGCAATTTCCTTGGAAAGACCATTTGGTACAGAGTACCCTAAGGTAGTCAAAGAATATACATGGGAACCAATACATATGAGCTTTCTAAAAGAAATTAAACGAGCAAGGGAAATGGTGAAACGTGGGCTTTAAGCAATAGGCTGATACACACAATTAGCTTCAATTAATCTCAGCGATCCTAAAACATGGACCTCAGCTGCTTTGAAGTGTTATTGGAGTGAAGAGGCAAAAATTTTAGAACAACAGGGGAAAGCAAAAGGATTGGAGATTTACCAAGATCAAATTCTTGGTGAGGGCCACTACTCTGATCCTCAGGAGCAGGCTCTCTATGATGAATGCACCTTGTTCCTGTGTAGCACAGCAGCTTTAAATGCTTGCAACAGGATTCAGGAACCAGGAAAAAAAAAAACCTGAATCATATATTAGGGTTAAACAGGGCCAGAGAGAGCTTTTTAGTGACTTTTTACAAAGATTAACTAAGGTTATGCAAGTAGGAGTGTAATAGACCCAGAAGCTAGATGTATACTTATTGAATCTTTGGCTTTTGAAAATGCCAACTTAGAATGTAAAAAGGTCTTTGGGCCTTTAAAGGTCAGATCAGCACCAATAGATGAATGGATCTTACATACAATGAATGTTGAGACACTTGACTATAGTGCTGAAGCTTGGGTAGGAGAAGCGATTTCCAATGGTATGAGGAGACACCAAAAAACCAAATGTTTTAATTGTAGCAGAATAGAACATCTGAGAAGGAATTCCTAAGAATAATGTCCCCTCTAGGAAGGGCAAGAATATGCAGTCTATGTCTCAGCCTTCTGCTATATGTAGGAGGTGTAGCAAAGGCCGACATTGGACCAATGATTGTAGATCGACAAAAAACAGACAAAGCAACATGAGACTGCTGTGGGACAATGGTCTTGTATTCTGTAAAGATCTGTCACTTGTATTGTTTTAATAAAACGCTGATTGGCCAGTAGCCAGGCAGGAAGTATAGACAGGGTGACGAGAACAGGAGAATTCTGGGAAAAGGAAAGGCTCAGTTTGTAGTCGTTACCCAGACACAGAGGAAGCAAGATGAGAATGCCTCACTGATAAAAGGTCCCAAGCCACGTGGCGAATACGGACAAGAATTATGGGTTAATGAAAGTTATGAGTTGTTCACTAAGAAGCCTGAGCTAATAGGCCAACCAGTTTATAATTAATGTAAGCCTCTGTGTGTTTCTTTGGGACTGAATGGCTGCGGAACTGAGCAGGACAAAAACCTCTCTCAACACGATACCACTAGGAAACTCCTTGGGGGGCCTTTCACAGGCCCCCATGTCAAACACAGTCCAGTCATTCCCAGTCACTATGAAGAACATGCTTCACCAGGAAATTAAAAAATCCAGTGCCTTTTGTAAAAAATCATACTGTTCTGGATGATGGAATAGAAATGGAAGAATCAAAAATTCCAGTAGGAAATAGGAAACATATGTTTTGTAGGACTTCTATAAATGATCAAAGACCAAAGCTAAGATTATGGATAAATAACATTGTAATTGAGGTATAACTAGACATGGGTGCGGATGTGAGTATCATTACTCCAGAATCTTGCCATCTGGATTGGCCTCTTCAAGAGGCAGATATTCAACTCCTAGAAACTGAAACCTTATCTCAAATGAAACAAAGCACAGGGTGGGTTGAATGCATAGGGCCAGGAAAGACAGGAAGGCTGAGGCCATATGTAGCTAATATTGCAGTGAATTTATGGGGTCGTGATATACTGCAGTGATCGAAGAGCCAGATTAACATTTCTGCAGTCCCCAAAACTCATGTTTCTGGAAAGGATATTATACGGTATTATAAACAAAGGTCACCAGTCATTCAGGCTGTACAAGAACACAAAGCAACTAGCAAATTTTTGGAGGAACTACCGACCCTATCTTTAAAA